TAATGATTGTGTCATTGCGGCCATAGAAGTTAGGTTTAATACGCGCATGAACAATGAACGAATGGTTTGAGGTCACAAGTCGCTGGGTTCCTAATTGTGTTTTTTATTTCGTGGTTCTTTTTAAATTACGTATGGGTAATAAATAGAGCTAACTAATTCGGTAATGAGTGATTACGGGAATATGCCCGTTGAAATAATGTCCCGTGAGTAGCCAAGAACTTGCACTGTGAACATTATTTCAATTCGGGCATATTTCCCATAGTCACTCGTACCTCGTTGGTTACTCTCTAAATATTTCCTAATCACCCACATCTAAGACGGAGCAAATGAAGTTCCGGTTGAAATTGATTTTCGGTAGCCGCCGCTGGCCTGTGGGCGATGACTAACGGGATCTATTAAACCGTGAGTGAGTGAGTTTAGGCTTACGCCGCGCTCTGCTTATATTCGAAGCTATATGGCAGCCCGGTCTGTAATAATCGAGTCTGGGACCAGACAATCCAGTGATCAACAACATGAGCATCAATCTGCGCAATTGGGAACCGATGACATGTCAACCAAGTCAGCGAGCCTCCGACCACCCCATCCCGTTAGTCGCCTCTACGACAAGCAGGGGTTACTGAATATTACATTTCGAATCCGGAGACGGCTTCACGAGGTGACGTTAACCAGCTTGACGCTGAAATTGGCCTTAAGTGGTTCACTCCGTCGCGCGTGAAGACCCAGGTTTAATTCCCACATGGGTGCAATGTGAAGTCTATTTCTTTGAATATTTAAGCAAAGCGGCGTAAACCTAAACACACTCCCCTCACTATTGCTGGAACAATATTGTTTCATCACTGTGTTTTAACCAATAATCCAATTTCTAACAATGTAGTGCTATCCTAATGTAATCCGTAGACGTGGTGTATGCTGGTTTTAAAGGCTCTTGGGAGTCAAGAGACGAATCTAAGATGCTAGCAATCGAACTCTCTAGAAGATTCATAGATCAATAGACAAATTTCAACAACTGTCCACTAAGAAATCATAAAGAAGATATGACAGTCACGAAAACTCTGTGGTTCTAGATTACAGCGGAGGAGGACGGTTTTATTGAACCATTTTAGCAATATTCCAGCAATGTCATTGCGGAAGTGACAAAAGAAATGGGCTTCACACGTTGCACTCCATGTGAGGAATCGCAAGGACGGGATTAGATGATAGCTTAATTGGTGACAATTGTATGAACTGACCAATTGTGAAATATTGATCTCAAATCATTCATAGGCCCTAGGAAATATTTTCGCGTAGTCAAACCTATGCGATTAATGCACGCCAATTATAATACGCAACAAAAAATAATATATACACTGTTCTAGGTCAAGCGTCACACTCATATATACACTCCGTTTTAGGTCAAGCGTCATACACTATATATATAATTCCATGGAATAAGGCTGTACACTCAGAGAGTACACTTGTTTTAGGTCAAGGTCATACACCTATATAGCACTGTTTTATATCAAGCGTCATACATTCATATACACAGTTGTAGGTTAAGCGTCATACACTCATATATAATCTGCTTTTAGGTCAAGGTCATACACCCAGTATAATTGGTTTATATCAGCGTCATACACTCCATATAAGGCACCATTTTAGTCGCCGTCATACAATTCATATTATGAATTGCTTTAGGTCAAGCTAGTCATACCTCATATACATCTGTTTTGTGGTCAAGGTCATACACCTGTTACATAAAGACTCATTTTAGGTCAAGGTCATACACTCATATACACTGTTTTAGGTCAAGCGTCATACACCGAAAGGGTGAACATACCATGATATTTGAAGAAGTCACTGTCACAAGACAGTTGGAGAAATGATAAATATAACTGACAAATACCTCAATTTGAAATTAAACGTATACGACTTTGAAGTGGATGACAACTTTTAAGGGCGGGGAGTAGAGACGTTTTGAGGATTTTACCAATGGTCCATCCTAATTCCCACCAGAATTTGCCCAACAAGCTTACTAATTGCCGTTCTGCCGGGCAAAGAGGTCGGCCACCAGAACAACAGTCTGCACAAAGCCGCACTTTCACAAGAATTGTCTATCCTATGTCCCCAGCCCTGACGTTGAACCCTGCCTGCCTGCCCACCAGTCCTGGACCACCTGGTGGCCTGGGTCTCAGTCCCCACAGTGGGCTGATCTCAAACAAACAACAAACCCCGCCTTGACGGCCGAACAGCATTCACAAAGGTCTGCCTGATAATATTTGTTAGGTGAATTCTTGCCCTTTCTTCAGGTCAACTAGGAGAAATATTCATTTCTTGAGCAAGGTCAACTATTACACTGTTCTTTCATGAATAGTGGGCATGGGTCATTTCTATTTTAGTAGTGTGCTAATTAATCGAGCGTTAAATGAAATGAGGCGCTTCCTGTGTGGATTGGCCTTAGAGAATATCTGTCCTCCGTATCTAGGACAACTACCTCGATTTCCAAGATAATCAATATTAAAATCACCTGTAATTACAGTTCTAAAGACTTGAAAATCGGTATGGATCACTCTCCATTTGTCTTTTAGACAGGATGATAGCCAGCCTACAAGTACTCGCACGCTAGGCCAAAACAAAATGCTTCTATGAATAAAATATAATAATGCAATGTGATTTTTATGATAATTTCGCAAGCATATGTTGAACATTGCGAACCAATGCTCATCTTGGGACCATGCATTCTAAACACACACAATACAATACCACACACACACACACAATAATAATAATAATATCATCATTATTGCACAATATTGCCATATATACATAGTAATATTTGTATGTTAATATCCAGCTCAAGTTGCTCAAAAGCGCGTTGTTTTTCCCTCGATCATTGCATATCAATCTGAACGGGGCACGCTAACAAGCCTTTGAAGTGTTACCTATGAGGGCTTTCGTGAATTTTAAAGGATGTCAGTCCTGATGATGCTGACATCAGCTTTATTAAAAGCACATTCTCAACAAATATCAATGACTTGGCGGTTCGTTGTGTTATAGACAGCCACACACTCTTTATTCATATAAATAACACGTATGATATGATGAAATGGCACATATATCACTGGAGCCATGTTCTTAACGCATTGCTTCCTGCCATGTCACATGACCACGAAGAATTAATCTTTCAGCGTTCATCTCTTGTCTGAATGTGACTGACGGACTGGGGAGACGTTGCCGGGTTGACGTACGTTGTATCCTTAATCACGTAGATCGTTGTCATGGATTTGACACGAATATTATAGACTGCAGGTGTTTATCTGAACATTAGTAGAGGCAGCTTTAAGCTCCAACACAAATACAGCAAGCGAGAACTGGTGCTGATGAAGACGACATACATCCAGCCAAATAATCAAACAGTTTATATTTCAGCTTGCCAACATGATCTCAATAACATCTTTCTTCCGCCTTCTAATTACTTCTTCAATTACTTTATATTACTTCGCTGCGAATAGGCCTGCGATACAGGAACTGCGGATGTCCCTGAAATTACGTCCACCCTGAGATTGCCTCAATAATTAACTCACTCATTCATTCACTCATGCCATTGCCGTATTATAATTTTCCCAGACATCCGGCATAGATCATGTCTCGGCCTGATTACACCAAACAGGCGTTCAGTCAATGTTCGTATAGATTCACCCGGCCCCTTTCCCAGAACGATCATTGTGCTTCCATGTCATAAAACCCATGTTAGTTATTTAAGTTATGGTCGTCTTAGTACGGGGAACGCTGTCTGAATAAGGTCTAGCCAGGTATTCCCAGCAGACATCTGCTGCCAGTTGATAGTCCCCAAAAATAAGGCGATTTGGTAACATAACGGGGTCATGTTACAGGCGTACATTCCATTTTAAAATAAATAACGAACAAACCCATTTATCTAATTATATCGTATCCGGAATATCTATTTTTCAGTATATTTTATTCATTCATTTTCAACCGGGGCACATTGTCAATAGGACGTACTTCTACCAGAGATACACATTTTGGTTGTACATCAACATATGATTAATCACATTCATTTGCCTACATAAACTTTTCGAAATACTTCACCTTCATTGATGGCTGACATGTGAAGATTTAGATTTGTACTGTTGAATTTTAGATGATCTACCAAAGCACATGTTGGGTGAAATATACCCTTTCGCACTGGAATTATTAGGTGTCTTTTTCATGAATAAAATCACAGCGCACCTAAAGGTCGACAAAAGTTGTCCAGTTGTTTGATATGTTCCCATGTCCCATTTTTGTGCAGTTCTGCCTGATATATCCTTTCAAACAATGGGGATCTTGATGATTTAGAGAATTTTCGGTCACGTTTACTTTTGAAACTATACAAGGTCCCAGGACCGTTCAGGAAGATGAATTGCGCCATTTCAGTAAAGAGTGGAACTGTCGGTATTCCCAAACACTTCATCCGCCATCTTCTTTGTTAGCGGGAAGAAGGATTGCAGCCGTCGGTGACGCGCCGATATATTTATCGGTAATCGTAAAGACTATTATTCTTCCTCCGAAAGGTATAATCCATTGCAGTTGAATCGTCATCGCTACAGCAATATATAGCATTATCACAAACCCTGGTATTCCAAATGAGAAATGGCAAACCATAACAAGTAGTATTTATTACATGTAGAAACAGATTCCATTGACACCAGATGTTTGCAAACGTATAAGCATTAGTCCGTTTAGTGAGCAGTTCCTGATGATCGAAAGAATTGAAAATCGATCGAAAGAATAGATTAAAATGATGATCGATTGTAAAATTATATGTTTGATTTTCTAATTTACTTGGTTTGTTGTGAGTAGCACTCGAATGAAGTAAAACTAACCATCACATTTGAGGAATATTCACGAACAAACATAGCTCAACAGCGTAAAGCTATGCACACAAATTTTAATCACTTTCATTTATTAATTACACCTGTTAGTTCTTTGAGTGCATTGCAGACAGCATGAGTAATAAAACCCATTAATTAGAAAATACCGGAAAACCCTAAAATTGGTGATTACATTAAAATGTATATATTTCGATTATAATCGTTAATCATTCACCACAATCCTCCCGGATAATCGATAGTGGATTTGGTTTCCGATTCCAAACACTAGTCCTGGTCACTTGTTTGTTCCTGTCAGTTTACATACCCTCAATAAAGCATTATGTTTGTTGTGATAGCAGCATTCTACGAGGACGAAGGCCGGTACACAAACCACACTTAACGCAAGACCATCCCGTGACAATGATAGGACGCTGATTTATTCTAAAATTTTATATCTTTTCTTGTGTACAAGTGCAGAGAGATTCTGCTGTAGCAGAGAACAAAAGCTCAAACGGTTAATCAACATTAAGGGGCGTGATTGATATGCAGTGGTTAACCGCTTCTGAACTGGAAACAATGTCTTGTGGTATTTGGTTATGAGAATTCCTTCCGGTAGGACAGGACATAGCTTACCCTTTTCGCGAACACTCGGTGACATCACTGATGGCTATTCTATGCACTTTCAATAGCTAATTTTCTTTTCACACCCGAATTTGTTTCGAGGATAGACTGTACCGATGTTGTATACAAAGACGGTAACGTTGGTCTTCAATGCTTTCTGACGAGCAGAGCGAGGAGTTAATTCACCTGGCTTGACGATTCTGGATCATTCTGGCGCTACAGACAGGTATAGACCTTCATTAAACGGACGGTGAGAGTAATCATACGATTTGTGTTATAGGCATCTTTCCCAACAGGAACATGGGCAGCCAATTGGGTTTTCATCGCTGATTGTTGACAAATGATGTTTGGTAATTTTGACAACAATCTGGAAATGTTGTGCATTTAATGCCATTTGTTCATTGGGAACAGTCATCTCTAAATGCGAGCGGGTACATAATCAAAACATGCCCCTCTGCTAAGAAAAATATCAACCATCGACGAACGCCAGTCACCAACGAGCACCAGTTTCATTATAACCATAATAGAAGCCCGCTTTGCACCCCGTGAGCTGACTGGGATTTCCAGAACCTGCCGAAGAATTCCTCTATTCACAGCAATTGTTCTCAGGTTGGTTCTGGCAAGGAATCTGTGCCGCTTCATAAACTATCAATACCGTGATATTAACAGCTGCGACTATAGACTCCATTACACCGATGTACGGGGTGTCTCTACACATTGTTTATTTCATTTGATGTTTAACGGCGATTAACAACGTTCCGCTATGAGGAAAGCTGGGTCTGAACAGTGTGTGGACCAGGACAATTCTATGATGGACATCATCAGCACCGGATCTGCAATAGGTGAGGAGTGAGCTTTAGTTTACGCCGCCCCTCAGCAAAGATTCCAGTAGGGCTTAAATAATTCCAGCTCCGGACCAGACAACCCAGTGATCAGCATGAGCATCTACGCAATTGGGATACGATGACATGTTTTAACCAAGTCAACGAGCTCGACCCATCCCGATCCCGTTAGTCGCCTTTACGACAAGCATGAATATTTAATCGAACCGATTCAGGGACAGGCATCGACTCAATGCATTGGGGTAATTTTGAACAGCCAGGCATGTGTTGCTGAAGACCGATTCTGACCTGGATACTGCGGTTGATATCTATTTACCGCTTGACTCGCATAGATGCAGGCTAATGTTTGTGACAAGTAGGCGGGCAGGGACCCAGACGAACACACTTGGTTGTTACAGGTAGATTGGCAATGAAGCACGTGCAATACATATGACCGTGACGTGAACTCAATACCGCTTCTGTTTAACACGTGTCTCACAGAGCGATTTTGTTCAGCAAGACACCATCTCGATGAGCCACCTTTGAATGTTTGCAGATTTTATGGCAATTTAACATGTCCAAGGTTGGTAAGCATGGGCAACGGTTCATTCTCGCAAGGGATAGCCTACAATGTTAATTTTATATGGAAAGACGTGTGCAACCAAAGTAGAGACGAGGTCAAAAGTAGCCTTGCTACTGGTCTTTCCGGCAACTTAAAACTGGCGAAGTGAGGGCGAGTGTTTCTACTTTATTAGTCCAACCAAGTTGAATCCAACTAACGATGATTGATCAGATCCAGACCGCCTACTCTAGATATGATATATGATACGGCAGCAAAGCCAATTGTATTACCAGTGGGTTCAAAGGAAAATTTTTCGAACAAATTCGAAAGACGTGGGCGAGGTGGCGAAAACGCAGTCAAATCGTAAGGTTTTAATGGAACGAAAAGACATCGTTGTAGCGCATGCAATACTTTACGTGCAATAAAAAAATGCCGAGATGGAATTGAACAACTATCTTTATCGATGAAACATGGTTGCATGCACACCACATGGTCCCAAAATACGGCAGATTGATGGTGAGATTGTGATAGAACAGTCATCCGGTACCGGACCTCGGCTTATTGTTGTTCATGCAGCATCCGAAACGGGTTCAGTACGAAATGCTTCTACTTGCATTTGACTCAAAGCCAAATCAGCAGATTATCATGACGAGATGAATTTTGATAATTTTCCAAATGGCTGCAGGAAAAAATCTGATCTCACACAATCCAATCTCCACTCCGTCATTGTTATGATAATGCGCCATGCCACAGCAAGCAAGTGGACAAATGTCCAACAACGGCTACGAAAGATGACATCAAAGCTAGTTACAAAGACAATACATTTGGCGATTAAATACCAAAATCCGAACTGTTGTGTTCGGCAAAATCCAACGAGATGGGCCCTGTCTATAGAGCAGACACTATGTTGAAACAACATGGCCATGATGTACTAATACGCCTCCTTACCACGCAGAACTGAACCCAACTGAGTTGACGGCCAATGTCGCGGCTAATAAACTTGCACTTCACAAAAAAACTTTGCGCTGCCATAAACGAGAATATTCGCAATCGGTGCCAAGGAATGGTCCGAATGGGATAGAAACATGCTAAACCATTGAAAATACAATGGGCAACCGGAAACCGCAGAAGAAAAGAAATTGACAGAACGTGATCGAAGTAGGATCAGCAAGTATTCAGACACCGATAATGATTCAAAGCATTGACTATAATCGAAGCACGCCCCTGAATCAGTAATTCCATAAATGGCTATATTCGGTATTTGACCCTGTGGGAGGGGCACCTGAATATATGCCGATAATACATCCAAACATATAAATGTTCTTTTCTCTAGCAGTTGTGTAGGGTGTTTTGCACATTGCTATATATGTCTTGAATCAGTTTCTAAAGGAACTAGCTGTACAATATTTACTAGTATGATATAACAATGAAAAACACGATTCCGCATCGAGGAAATGGAACTTTTCAAAGCGGACCTGTTTCATTTTTTCGTAAATGGAATGTTCTGGGTGGGTCCCTATAAATTGGGGTCATTTGTCCGGTCGTGGCTCATCTAATAGTAGTATATCAGTATGTACCCATGCCCAGCTGACCTACTAATGAATCAGTATCTTCTACATATACCGCCATAAATTGCATACTGAGAATGTCCTTTAAAACTTAAGCAAACAAATATGCGATGAGCACGATCTTTAAAGCGCAAAGTTCTTGGCTTATTACTAAATTATTTTATTGATCATCACGCACCCGTCTCAATCTCATCAATCCCGTCCTTGTCTCGTGAAGGCGCAGACTAGGTAAAGTTGTAGATGCCTTTGGTTTCTTCGCAGATCCAGGCATTCGTGCTGGGTCCAGGGCATCAATTTGCACAAAACTCAACTCTGACAGTTGAAACAAGAACATTGCATCACAAAATGGTTTGGGATTTAATGACTAACACGTGTTTATAATTCACCTATTCATATCGACAGAGACGTTTATTCTGGAACTAATAGGTGTTTACCATTTCCCCGACTAATCCTGTTCCGCACCGATATTCATTAAGGACGGAGAGCGCCCGCTGGTCTTGTGGGTAGGTATCAGCCATGTACTTCTCCAATACGTAGGTGAGAGCGTAGTCCCAACCGTATGTTTTCTGTAGGACAAAGATGACATAAGAGTAACCATTGGAAGAAGTACTATCATGAAAACATGGCAGTGAAACGAAGCTTTTTGTGGAGGTAACTGAGGAACAAGATAGATATCAAGCATATGACCAAGCTGCTGTTGCTGAGTTCTGAAAGCTGAAATGTTTTTCACATTTTGTGGCTGGGATTTTCATTAGATTCTTGGCTATCCATTAGTTGGCCATCATGCCCAATTATCCCAACAGAAATTGGACAAAATGTGCACACGCACTGCTCAAAGTCCTCCAGCAAACCTTAACTGGAAAGAGGACACACTCAGAGCATAATTTCCTGACTGGTTAATTTCTCGATTCCGCCATATTGGCTTGATTTTAATTTGCTTTATCGGAAACTCCCTTTCTCCTCTTTTTTTCTTCTCAGCCTCAAATATCACTTTTTTTCAAGCATATTTTTCAGCAAAATAATTTCTGCAGCCAATGCTTCTCTGACACATTCTTGTTTTCTTTAAAGTCTCAAAGATCACCATATTGGTCTGCATTGATGATCGCAAACTAAAACCAAACTTTCTTCCTCATCCTGGTAAGTGATCAAAATATTCTGACATCGGTCTGAAGCATACCCGACGCTATGTGTAATATTTCGGCCAAGTTCAAACTTCTGAGGAAAGAGACTTTTTGTAGCGATTCTGGCTTGTATCTACACTAAAACACGAATGTGATTGATGATATCACACACAACAAGACTGTTAACCATCAATTCTCCAAATTTTTGGTAATGAGTGAAGAGAGAAAGTTCCACTCTAAAAATAGAAACCAATACACTAGCAACAAATGCTTAGGTAAGCACATTTGGACTATCAAAATTAGTTGATTACAAATCAATACAAATTTACTACAGAATATAACAGGGCCAGCATTCAGCAGAGTACAATTACTATAGCAGTATGACATACAATAGCTCTGATAATATCTGCTTCGACAGACTTGACAGCGACACAACAATCCATACCGGAAGATCGCATATGATAAAGAACTTGTCATCCATATAGACAGACAGATTTATTTGTAGAGTGGCCAGAGGCCAGTAGTACAGTGACATTTTGACATCGCGTTCTTTTGGAGCGCAGGCATGAGAAGTACACTGAGACGAGCAAGTATCATAAAACGTTGCGAATTTTGGTTACAAAGAAAATAGTGCAAAATAATATTTGCATTAGTGTTAAGTAAGCCTACAAACCCCTCTATGTTGGGATTTACACAATAATATTGTGGTATGCGCACCTGATGCGTAAATCAGGAAAAACAGTACATTGTAACCAGAACGCGGTATCGCATCCTGGACAAGATTATTTACCAATGAGCGCACAGCGAAGAACTGATATCATCATCTTTGGATCTTCTATAGGTTTTGTACATTCCAGTTTACTGATGCCATATTCAAATTTTGTAAAGAGATCTGCGGAGTTGCATAGAGGATAATACTTCTAGATATGTTTCATGGACAATGTCATGTTTTAAATAGTGAATATGCATACAAACATTTGGAGCTTGCAATATCGGATGACCATTCTTGGTAATATATATATCTCTACAGCAAGTTGTTTGAATAGCTTTAAGAACATATAAGGATCTCCAACTGTTTGGTGGATCCATACGTAATGCATAACCGTATTGAAACAACGATATGTTCTAACTGGAAGAAGTCCAGTTAGTATCTCCATTATCATCTAGATTTTTCTTATAATATTATAGCAACGTTTAGAGTGTCTTGTGGCTGGCTGGCTAAGTAGTCGTAACGCTAGCATGATATAACTCTTGTTTTATAATCACGACTTGGAGTGGATATCTTCCACATTCCGCTAAAACAGCTTTTTATTAGAGAGCGATAACCAACTCCCAGGACAGATTGCAAAACCTTAGGGAGTGGGCTTTTCAATGTTATGACGATACATTGTTCCCCAAATTTCTGAGCCGTAGAGCAAGATTGGTTGAATTTTGCCATCAAAAAATCTTAAGGCATGTATCTTGGGGAAGAGATTTAAATCGAGCTGTATATAAATTTTTGATAGGATATAACGCCTTCTCGGCTTGTTTACACAGAACCTCACAAGCTCTTGAAAACAGGTTCCGGCATGAAAAACACTATTCCGAGATATTTGTAATACAGGGAAACAGATTCCAGTCTTTCAGAGCCAATAAACCATTTTTTCATTTTGAAAGTCCACCACCTTTTTAAATACAACAATCTTAGTCTTTTCGGTATTAATCGACAGTCCCCATTTTTTGCAATATGATTTAAGAACATCTATTTTCTTCTGCAAGTTTATGACACTATCTCCAACATGGCGACGTCGTCCGCAAATAATAAGATAGATAATGCATCTACAGTTTCATCAATGAATGCACCACTGTATTCGCTATTCACAATATCGTTTACGATTATTCTCTATATATGGAATAAATAAACGGGAGACAGTATACAACCCCTGTCGGACTCCGGCTGTTTCGACTTAAATACATCAGTCATAGTCTGCTTAATGTATCTCACAGCTGCTCACATTCGAATACATATTGCGAAGCAGAGAGGTTATTTTAGCATGTAAACCATTATTGCAGAAAGAACATATATTAATTTATTCCTATCAACAGTGTCGAAGGCTTTTTTGAAGTCTACTGAAATATACAGTAGAATTTGCCACTTCTTTTTTTTTTCTTATGTATTTATGAATTATTGAGTTAGTATGAATATCTGGTCAATTGTACTGCAACTGTTCTGAAGCCAGCTTGTGGACTCAGAGAGTAGTTCTCTTGGTTGATATCCAGGATTTTATATACGCGTGTCAAGTATTGATGTAAAAACTTTACTGATAATGTCTAGAAGCGCCTATTCCCCTATAATTATTAGGGTCATCTCTATTTCCTGTCTTGTGCAACGGGACTATAATGCCTAAATGCCAAACTTTCTGGCATTTCCCTGTATTAAGAATTTCATTGAAAAAGACGTTTATAGAAAGGTGACAATACATGACACGTAGCTTTGATAGCCTCCGCCGGGATACCATCTGGCCCCTGGATTTACCGTTTTTCAAGTTATGAACTGATTTTCTAATTCTTCTTCCTCCGTAATTTCATCACACAACATATGGTCACAGTCTCTTTACATTGGTCGCAATTTGTGACATCATGGTTATCGATAAAGCAAGTTTTACATCATCATCAAAGTAGGATTTTATGGTCGTCGTACATGGGTAAATGAGCAGTGAACTGAAATATTCAAACCGTGTTATCAGCTGATATGTTACAACAACTGCGCTCTTCGATTCGCTGTGTTTTAATACCAATAGCCTTCCAAAAGTCTTTACATATATTGCTTCTTTGCTGCATCTAAGATTTCATTTTCTAATATCTGTTCTCATATACCGCTTTTTGTGGTTGCATAGGTTTTAAAGTTCTTGCTTTGCATCGAGATACTCGGTGCAATGCACAGGATCGGCTGTCGCTCTAAATCTATCGAGAAGTGTATACTTTCTGCGTTTTTAAAATTTCCTCACATTCTTTGTCAAACCATTTAGGGTTGTGTCTGTCTCGTGCTGGTCTGTGGGTCTTGGGTGCGGGAGTGTTGGGTATCAGTTAGGAGAAAACAGTGTCTGAAAAGGTCGAAGCAAGCCCATGTTACGGTTTTATTAATGTCCTTTATGGATATTGTTATCAAAGTTCTGTGTGAAAGTATCAATGGAACTGCACATAATATCCACAAACTCACCGAGCTGCTCCGGTCTCCACGCGTACCTGTCGAATGCATGTGACTGAGTATGAGTGTGTGTTGCACGATGAGACCAGCTGGCGGGTCACGTGACAACAACAGGCTTTCTACTGTAATCGGGAGAGTGGTCAGGACTCTGTTCTTGTGATTATTTCCAAAGATCTTTATAAAAACATATATAAATCTGTGGGCTGCAATACAATAGTCTACCACGCTGTTACCTTGTCGCCCAATAAATGTAAGTCCCCTATTTATCTTGTCATCTATATATATATAAAAGTATCTTGCCTTTATTTGTAGCAGTGATAACAGTAATCAAGTCGGTGATAAATACTGGTTACCTAGCAACAACGGTAGTAATGTATATTAGCTTCCCACAACAGCTGCTCTTGATGTAATGTAAAACGAATGAGGTGTCCGCTATATAATGTATACACATTCCATCAGGATCCCTAATGACACTTGAATTGAAAAGCATGAAAATATAAGAAATATACATTATGGATATGACTAATGAACTGTGTTTCTTTATTAGAAAAAGCTGTCGACGGTGTGCTACACGATATAGACAAAAGTGTATATTACATGTCAGAGGCCTTGTGCACGGCAGCAAAGTGATATGAAAGAGTGTGTTCTCCCTAATATGTTTAGCCAACAGTAGTTTGACCATGAATGTGAGCTACTAAACGATGTAAATGTTTAAACAATTTGAGGAGAAAAAAGGATAATAACTCTTACAGGAATACAATATTAGTAGAAATAAATATAACAGTGTATGCAGAGAAAAGAAAGCGAACTTTTTCAAAGGGAAGCAGGAAAAACTCGAACATTGTATACGCGATTCTAAACAGTTTTGGGCCACTCTTAAAGGGCTGAATACTAATTGTTATTCACGAAACAATATACCAATCGAGGATTGGTTTTCCCATTTCAAGGAACTATTTACAACCTCTACAGGGAACAAGGAGAGTTTTGTGCTACCTATGAATCAGATGAATTCGATAAGTCGTTTTGCCAGTTAACTTAAGAGATTCTTGATTCACCTATAACAAGAAATGAAATTTCAGAAAGTATTGCAAATTTAAAGTGCAATAAATCTGCCGGTGAAGATAACTTGATTCCTGAATTCTTTAAATATTCATCCGAAATCATTCTCCCCTACCTTGAAATTCTTTTTAACGTTATGCTTGAAAAGTCTTTCTTTCCAGAACAATGGACTCTGGGGATTGTAATTCCCTTGCACAAACAGGGATCTACCAACAATTATAGGGGTATAACTCTTTTGAGTGTTTTCAATAAGATTTTTACCAGTATTATACATAGACGTTTAGCATTTTGGGCCGATGCCGTTGATAAGATAGATGAAGCACAAGCCGGTTTCAGGCACGGGTACTCTTCAACTGATAATGTCTTCATTTTGCAGGAACTTGTGCAGAAATATGTAGCCCGAAAGGGAAAAAAATATATGCCATATTTGTAGTTTTTTACTTAAGCGTTCGACTCCGTTAACAGAAACATGCTGTGGTCCCTTTGTAAATCTCAAGGTATCAGTACTTAAATTGGTAAATTATTATACTGCATATACCACAACGTGAATGCTTGTGTTCGAAATAATAACAACCTATCTGATTCCTTCTGCTGTAAAATTGGGGTAGTAAGACAAGGATGTATACTCAGTCCATTTCTGTGTTCGTTCTTCGTCAACGAACTATCGCTACAAATATATGAACACTGTAACGAGGGCATCAATTACATCCAGAAACTATGAAACTTTTTCTACTCCTTTTTGCTGATGATACTTTTATGTTCGCGAGCTCAGTACCTGGACTTCAAAAGCTAATAAAGCAACTTGAGTACTATTGTAAACAATGGAAACCGAATGTCAATATCGATAAGACAAAGGTCATAGTTTTCATAAATGGAGTGGGGAAATTATCAAAACAGGAAAAATGGTTTTATAAAGGTGAAAGATTGGAGGTTGTAAGACGTTACAAATACTTGGGTGTACTCTTTACAAATCGACTAACTTGGTCATTGCACTGCAACAAAGCCGCACTACAGGCTAAAAAAGATTTTAATAGGCATTTTAAGAACCATAAGACCGCTTCCAAACATTAGCTTTGACACTAAGATTAGTCCTATTCTACTCTATGGTGCAGAAGTATGGGGCCAAGACATCTATGACACACTAGAGAAGGTACATCTATATGCGTGCAAAAGATTTTAGGAGTAAACTCTAAACACCCCAAATGTTACAGCGTTGATGGGGAATGTGGGAGATGCCCTATGTATATATTCAGTTACATATAAAAGTAATAATATATTGGATAAGAATTGCTTAAAATGCCAAGCACCAGATTCCCCAAAAATGTTATAACATGATGATGCTTTACGATGACAGAGGTAAAATAACTGGACCTCTGGTGTCAGAAAGATACTTCAGTCTTGCGGCTATGATTACATCTGAGAGAACAAAATGTAACAGCACCAGAGCATTTAATATATGATTTAACACAAAGGCTAAAAGATAAGTAGTATTTTCAAAAGTGGCACTTTTCACTATGTTTACACAATAAGTTAAACCATTACTCGTGTTTTAAATCATTCATTCTTACAGAAAAATATCTTCCAGACATTAATGTTAAAAATTCAGAACAGCACTAGCCCGTTTCAGGATGTAGTTCCCATGATCTTCTAATAGAAAAAGGTAGGCATTTAGGGATACCACGGGAAAAACGGAGGTGTGTAAAATATTGTACTTATCATCAGGTAGAAGATGAATATCATTTCTTGCTTGTTTGTCCATTGTATGCAAATCTCAGAAAAGAATACATAAATAAATGGTTCTACTTGAACACCCGAATAGACAAATTCTATACCCTCATGGCATCTCAAAATCAAACACCCACAATATATATATATATATATATATATATACCATGCCATGAATATGAGATCCTCTGCATTACAGATGTGATATTATTTACTATATATGCATTTATAGTGCACCCTCTGCTACTGTATGTTAAATGTACTATAGGCCTCACGGCCTCTTAATTACTGTAAATAAAGAGATTGATTGACTAATGATAGTGAAAATAAAAATAGCCAGTCTCTGTTTTATGTTTAAGGGGTTGTTTTTGTTTTTATTGATTTGTATTTCTTAGCTCTTATATAGTAACTTAAAGCACCCTTTATACATTTGAGCAGTGTTTTGCATGATGTGAAGAATTTTGAATGCGTCTATGTTATTATGATACGTATATGTGAATGATACATGGTTGTATATGTAAATTTCAAAAATGTTTCTCCGGCATTTTGTGCCAACAATCTTGTGAACTTTCGTTGTTCACGAACTGACAAGTGTGTATACTGACAAAACAATGTGAGAATGTTGTACATCCTCTTTGATAAAATGTATGTAGGAAATGTGGTTTAAACATTAAGACGAGGAAGAAGAAATGGGCGTCTATTGTACCTTCCATTTTGCTAGTTTGTTATTTAACTTTACCTATCCAGGTATTTTCTTTGAACCTGGAGTCCAAAACAAACTTATTTTGACAAGGCTGGAATTAAAATTTCAGGCATGTCAGCGATCTGATATCGTTAATTAGCAATTCTCTTCCACTAATGTACCTTCCCTGAATCAGTTATTTATTATTGATTTCTCACCTGGTTTTACGCGAACAAGTACGCGCTTTACTTGTGTTTGTGATGGGAGCTTCTGGCTGTATCAGAATACCCTCATCTTTTGGCGAACACATAGTACCATCACTATCCTAACATGGATTCCTTCGCCCATGGTACAGTCAGAATCTTACAACAAACTAATGACAAACGTGTTCTGTTTGCCATGCCACTCCATAGATATACAGTACATTACATAATCCGTATATATTACAACACCACCAGAGAGAGAAAGCAGCCTATATCTCAGCCTATAATACAGTTTCACTTTTGTCAAATATTTATCTCGGAAGTGGAATAGAACCATGACTCGCCCCTAACATGAAGTAACACATATCACATACCTCTTCATACTCGTCGGCGAAGTCGTTATACATGTCTGCTATTTGCTGCGGTGTCATTGTCTTCCGAAGATTGAAGTTCAACCTGGCATCTCTGTAACGATCCGACATTTTCTATCTGTCTTTTGAAATTCACCCCACTTTGATATGGTTACCTGCAGTGCAATGGACCAAAGAAATCTTGTATTTCTGTCGTTGATATCAATGCAGGATGAGGACGTTAGCTGGTCTTTTCCCTATGATTCTTAGGACCTGTAAACATGCGGTTCCTCAGCGTATAACAGAAGGATCAAGCACAAATGTGTTATAAATATGAATAATGTATTCATGTAGGTGTGATTATAAACCAGTCCGGGCTTTCATGAATACATGAATAAATTAACCCTGCAATTGAAAATATCATTTCTGAAGTGAGTATTAATTCTTTACAAAACAGATCAGACACAAAATAAATTTGTTTGATGTCACTGCACAACATATTTAAATGGTGTATAATCGTCAATGTCATTGCAGTAATTTAATATATTTAAACTCCACATTGAAAATGCTGCAATATGCGCTTATGAATCTAGTAATATACGACGTTGGAATACCTACAGAGGCAAAACCTGAATCTAATTATATAACATATTGCTGCCATAGTTTAATTCAAAGATTCTATCAGAATGCATTCGTATCTTTTTACACATTTGATATGGGCATGGTACTGTTATTGGTTTTATTTTTTGCGATCCAGGTTTTGCAGAATGGAGCTCAAATGAACTGATACCCATAAAATTGTTTTAAAGATATGTCGCCCTGGATAAATTACTATGCCATTACTTGCCTCTTGCCATTCTGTGGAGAATGGGGCGGAGGCCAGGGAGTAGTGTGATGGATTAAAGCGTTCAGCTCGTCACACCGAGACCCAGTGGGTACAATGTGTAGAGCCCATTATACCCCATTTTGCTGGAATGTGTGGCAAAAGCGTCAAGAAACTAAAACTGACTCACACTCTAGACAGTTCCAAAATTATACTGGAGTTAGTCTCTAGCTCTTGAGTCCCAAAGTTTTAAATGGTACACTGTTATATAGTCCATATATGCATAGGTGTATGGATTTTGTGTATTCATACGAACATTGAGAGGGAAATATTAAACTTATATTTGCGCTTTTGTGGATAACAACTAAAACATACACTTGAAACTGACTTTTTGAAAATGCTCGCCATACTAGCGATTAATAGAACAGTCCATATCAATTTTTTTGACACATAGAACAAGAAGAATGCAGATGCGGTGAGAGTTAAATTAATATATAGAATTGGTTCCTAGTTAGTCTAAGATAGGACGGCGAATAATAAACACTTACTCTAAACATAATCCCAACTTTACAAAATGTATCACTTCACACGTGAGGCGCAGTTGCATTGATATCAAGCACAAAGGGATAATATGAGAAAAATGGCTTATTCCTGCGGTTTTCATGAATAAATTTATCATATGCAAGATACATTATGTATATCAACAATACAAGAACTCTAACAGATCAAAGATTCGTGAAATAGTTCAGTCTATACACTCATGGGCCGGTGATCCTTGGGAAAAGGAGAAATTGAAAGAAGTAGTGGTAAAATCCTTCCCAAATTTCCAAGCCTTGGAATCATCATCTTTCCAATTTTGGATTTTTTGGAAGATGATATTTCAAATTTGAATTTTTGGAAATTACCATTTTTCTTGTGCGAGTGTTATGTGTTATTCGTATTATTTACGGACCTACCGCATGCCGCATCAGTTTCTCACTGTACATCCCGAGTTTCTCTCATAAAATGAGCACACAAAGAGAATCTTGGAGAGATGAGGAGACTGGACAGCTGTACTACCAGATGTTTGAAACCATGAGCCTCAACATTTGTTCATAGAAAACCATTTCTAAAGAGATAATAAATTCTGGATGCAACCTAGGTTAGTTGGCTGCTCTGTTCTTTAAAACCGCACTCAGAAACATTCCAGCTATATGACGGCTGTCTGTAAAAATAATCGAGTCTGGACCAGACAATCCAGTGATCAACAGCATGAGCATCGATCAATTGGGATACGATGACATGTGTTGACCAAATCAACGAGCCTGACCACCCAATCCCGGTAGTCGCCTCTTACGACAAGCATGAAGACCAATGAAGACCCTGAAGACCAATTCTAAGCCCCATCTTCACGGGTCTGTTTCTCAAAGACTTACAGAGACGTATTAGACAATATGGGTCACGCTATACCCTAACAATGCAGTTTACTTACCAGAACGAACAGCATGAACATATAAAGCATATAATGCATATAAAGCATTATTATTTCACTTTCTCATGAATATGTCAAAGCGCGCACCTGGATGTAGGAGCTCACAAAACAGGTAAAGCGAAATGAAAAGGATGTTCAATGTACATCTGTCGGTGTCATTTGACACATATGATCTAGTGCCGAGTTGTAACATATGTTATATTAGTAATCTTTCTAAGCGTCGTTGTTTGCTGTATTTGAGATCGGGTTCACGTGGATGTCTGGCTTAATTGAATGCAATCATGATGATGATGATGCACAACATTTACCGTCGTTGGTATTGGGGGAATACCAACACTCTGGCATCTGTATTTGGTTTTCATGAAACAGGTCCATTTTTTCAGTTTCGCCGGTAGCTTGCAGCGAAGCTATGGCTACTGGTAAAAACTGTCACCTGCATGTACCGATGGATGAAGCAGGCTTCCTTGTCTGAACAAGATAAAGACAGGGGCTGATTTTGTGACGTCACTACCCTGTGGAAAACTGAATGCATGAGGATGATGATGTTATTAACGAAAATTGTATTTTGAATTCTTTGTATGAGTAAATGTTGATTAACGGGTGAGAACTGAGGTCTTCAGTGACTCATGCTTGTCGTATGATGCGACTAACGGTCCCTGGACCACCTGGTAGATGGTCATCGTATTGCGAGATGTCAATCACTGGATCGTCTGGTCCAGACACAATAACATAGCTGAATACTGCTGTAAACAACAAATAAATGAATTTTAATTTTCACGTTAGTCAGCGCTAATAACACTTATATACGATGATATGTCAGCTGTTGAATGGTTGCGTCACTCTTCACACCAGGTTATAACATGCGATACATACTACCTCACGCCTACTTGTCTGAAACCTGTGGAATCCCTAGAAGGCATATTGTCACGTTTTCACACTGTCGCGTTGTCGCCATCACAAAACCAGTCACTGGCGCCCTTTGGATGACTGAACGAATATTCTTCAAAGCGCGACAATGCGACAAATGGCAAAATGTCGCCTTTGTGGCGTGTCACAGTTTGGTTAATTTTGCTTGTTTTGTGAGGGCGACAACGCGACAATGTCCCTTCTAGAGGATTCCATAGGAAGCCATCAACCGGTACAGTAGTCACTGATGAAGTCTTACGCTTGCTATGTCCACAGAAGCCGACCTTAGTGCTTTATTGATATGCAAGTTCAGTTCTTACTTACATCAAGATTGTCCAGACATACACCATGTGCACTGTCATCTAATCGAGCCTGTCCTATCAGGATAGTGGCGGTTTTTTCCGGATATCTGAATCTCCTCAGAAAGTAGAAAGTTGCCATTAATAAAATTTCAGGGAATTTTGATGCAATGGTCTGAATACATTGAAAACATTATTATATCAAGAATAATATATTCTTATTCAAGGTCATTATATATATGTCAGGGTAGAGACTGCGATCGGAGTCTCTACCAGTAGAGACTGCGATCGGAGTCTCTACTGGTAGAATCTCCGATCCTACTAGTTGAGATTGTAATCGTAGTCTCTACTGGGTGAATCGGAGATTCTACCAGTACATTTTCCAAGTCAACTGGTAGAAACTCCGATCCTACTAGTAGTAGAGGCTGCAATCGTCTTCAACTGGTAGAAAATCTGAGTGATCTGTGGGTAAACAACAAAGACACTTTTTCTGAACAGTACTATGCATTTCAACTGTTATTGTTTAATAACAACAGGTCCAAGTAAGGCAGGTCAGGTATTTAATCAGTTTGAGATTAACAGATTAAGACTGACTGAAACTGAGTAAACGATTATATTAATTAACTTAAGATAGGTTTGTTTAAACATATTATATATTTCTAAAGAAAACTGAATTGGTGAACAAGCATGTTGGCTTATTGTACCACTGCTCCAGGAACTACAGAATTGGTTTGTTGTTATAAGCTATAGGTGTCTTGGCATGTCGGCATTTTGGGAGGATAGGTGTAGGGCAATTCCCCACCAGGTCATTACCGCATCTGCCATATCCCCACCTGGTCATTTCCCCACCGTGTTTTTATAACAATTACTGATCATAAGTTTTGAAATACATCTGAATGAACTTCCTACTTTTTAACTGAGACTTTGATAACAAACATTTAACACCTCACTGTAAACAATATCAAAATAAAAAATAAAAATGGTTTGTAACACTGTATTTACATCATGAGACCAAGCAGCCAAATTTGGACTCCACTCAAAAAACAAATACAAAATTCCTCACTCCAAAACATGCTTAACAAATAAAGTTAACAAGATAACAATAAATAAGTTCAATTATAACTGGCAAATAATAGGAAAACATTATCCCCACTTATTATACTTGCTTGCATAAGCTTGCACTTGCTTGCATAGGTTATTCCATATAATCGTAGTCTCTACCAGTAGAGACTACGATTGCAATCTCTACTAGTAAGATCAGAGATTCTACCAGTAGAGGCTCTGATCGCAATCTCTACTGGTAGAGACTCCGATCGCAATCTCTACTTGTAGAATCTCCGATTCTACCAGATCGCAATCTCTACCCTGACATATACATGGCCATGAATCAAGCACTACCTGAATCCAAGGGAACTGTTATAATTTTGGTCCAAACAGCATACTAGAAAGCGTAGTGCTTCCGTGCTTCAAATAATCAGTAACACCAGGTAATTGGCCAACACATGATGTTTATCTCCTAAATGGACCACACCAAAATAATGGGGTTCGCAAACAAGTTCAAGCCATCAATGGTGAATGTGTCCAGCATATTGAGGAAGATATGCAAAGAGATGGAGGATATGTCGATCCATTTCATCTCACACGTGTGCAATGGGTAACAAATTGTGGGGGTGGTGTAGGCCAGGGTGACAGATTAACGTTTTTCTTTAGCATTCTATTTTCTTTAGAACCCGAACATAAGTTTCTATCTTCAATCAAAGCCAATCTATCGTCAGCCATATTTTCTTCACCATTCAGGCTAGTGATCAAATACTTCACTTCTTTGGCCATAAGCATACCCGATGTCAGGTTTGTAACGTTAGACCAAGACAAGTTCAGAATTTTGCAGCCAAGAAACTTGACTCTGTGTATCGACACCTTTGTGGCAGTGTTATGTTTCTGTAACAATGTACCCCATGTAAGAGATTGTATAAGTGGATAGTCATTGAGGGGCAGTGTTATGTTTTTGTAACAATGCACCCCATGTAAGAAAGATTGTATAAATGGATTGTCATTGAGGGCAGTGTTATGTTTTGTAACAATGTACCCCATGTAAGAGATTGTATCAGTGTGTCGTCATTGAGGGGCAGTGTTATGTTTTTGCAAAAATGTACCCCATGTAAGAGATTGTATCAGTGTGTCGTCATTGAGGGGGCAGTGTTATGTTTTGTAACAATGTACCCCATGTAAGAGATTGTATAAGTGTGTCGTCATTGAGGGGCAGTGTTATGTTTTGTAAAATGTACCCCATGTAAGAGATTGTATCAGTGTGTGTCGTCATTGAGGGCAGTGTTATGTTTTTGTAACAATGTTCCCCATGGAAGAGATTGTATAAGTGGGTCGTCATTGAGGGGCAGTGTTATGTTTTTGCAGCCATGTACCCCATGTAAGAGATTGTATCAGTGTGTCGTCATTGAGGGGCAGTGTTATTTTTTTGTAACAGTGTACCCCATGTAAGAGATTGTATAAGTGTGTCGTCAATGAGGGGCAGTGTTATGTTTTTGTAGCCATGTACCCCATGTAAGAAATTGTATAAGTGTTTCGTCATTGAGGGCCAGTGTTATATTTTTGTAACAATGTACCCCATGTAAGAGATTGTATAAGTGGATAGTCATTGAGGGGCAGTGTTATGTTTCTGTAACAATGCACCCCATGTAAGAGATTGTATAAATGGATTGTCATTGAGGGGCAGGGTTATGTTTTTGTTACAATGTACCTGTTGTGGCCAAAGTCAACTAATTACTCAAAAAGAGAGAATCATTTTTCGTTTCCTTAAGTTCCAAATTTGTATCATTCCCATTTCACTTAAGTTTCTAATTTAAATTCATATTTCATTTAAGATTCTATGTTTTTGATACACCAGTCTATAAGTTACCCTTCCATATCTGTTAAGGGGAGGTAAATGCCTTGGGCCATGTATATCATGCCATGTGCTCTCAGCATGCACATGCTCAAGTCACCAAGTCCACAAGCTATAGAGGTCTAAAACAATGGTAAGCCACCTACACATGTGACTCGGACATAAAGTGGTTACCTTAAATGCAATAATGCTTTATATATATAAATATATATATTTAGTATGTTAAGGTTGCAGTACTTCTGTGATATCTATTCTGAGCACAGTCACTTGTTTTCCCCATGTGTTGAGTATGTCACCATGTTAGCTCACCTTACCATACTTAACCTTTATGTTCATATGCTGTGGAGTTCCATTGAAGTGAAGCTGGTTAACATTGAATTTTCATATGTTAAAAGTAAGAGAGATTTTCATCTCTTTCAGTCAATCTGCATTTAACTGAACTTGTATCAAGAAATGTATCAAGAAATAAGAAGACAAGAATAAAGCATTAAAGAATCAAGCCACTTGGTTATTACAGTACCCCATGTAAGAGATTGTATAAATGGATTGTCATTGAGGGGCAGTGTTATGTTTTTGTAACAATGTACCCCATGTAAGAGATTGTATAAATGGATTGTCATTGAGGGGCAGTGTTATGTTTCTGTAACAATGTACCCCATGTAAGAGATTGTATAAATGGATTGTCATTGAGGGGCAGTGTTATGTTTTTGTAACAATGTACCCCATGTAAGAGATTGTATAAATGGATTGTCATTGAGGGGCAGTGTTATGTTTTTGTAACAATGTACCCTATGTAAGATATTCTATAAGTGAATAGTCATTGAGGGGCAGTGGTGTGCTAAAATTAGACAGAAAGTTGTGGAAGCTGCTATTGGATACTACAAACACGTGGCTTGTTGTAGAATTTTCTGTCACTTTATCATTGTGTATATACAGGGAAATAGCTATTGCCTCGCATCTCACATTACACCTCAAGCCACATGCAGAAAAGCTGGATAATTCAGCGGTGAAACAAAATAACAGCAAAGAAATGTTATCTAATTAACATTTGCATTATCGAATTTATTTGGTTCACAAATCAATGCCAATTCCTGCAAAGCAATTACAATGGCGTTACTCAATAGCACGGCAGTACTGAGGTAGTACAGTTACCAGTTTAACATACAATAGCTGTCAGTGGTAACAATGTTTACCTAACAGCAAGTTTATTGTTTTTATCAACAGCTGGTCTTGACGGTATTTGAGGTGCATGTGCTTGCTTGTGTATTTTAAACTCCCTCCACCACGGTCTGTGCTATGCTGGATTACTTAAGAGCGGTTCTTGAAGATTACAAACGACAGTTGACTCAGAACGCAATCCATATACAGTAAATCCATCTCATTTTCATTAGATCGTGTAATAAATTATGATAGTGATAGCTTTGTTTTGAAAATGTCATAAACTTCCATTCATACTCAGCTACAAAATTAATATTCAATTTGTTTAGTTGTTTAGTTGTGTGGTATGTATATAACATTATGGGAAGAATATGTCAACATTTCAAGCAGAGAGAATGGTGAAACGGAGCAAGATTGTTCTCTCTGAGGTTACAGTGGGTGACAATGTGACAATACCAATTCCTGGTTTTGGCAGATGGAGAGCCGATCCAAGGAATTTGGTAGGAGTTGTAATGACCATTACTGACAACGGCATGTACACACTTGCTGTTAAAGCCGGTGTCTTGTGTGGAAAGTATTCACGCAACCAGTTTGATGTGTGTGCCACATCTCTCTACACTATTGCAGATATGTCGACTGAGAAACTTGAATCGCTGAGATCTGCAGTCCAGAGAGAGTCTGTATGTGGTTGACGGGGTTTTGTGAAATATAAATGTAGTGGCACAAAAAGATGTCAGACACAGAGGTTCAAATGTTACAAGTCTCGGGTTATATGTAACTCGCGATATCACTCTTCCCTCTCTTGCAAAAACAAATGTTGATACATATGAGTGTTGTTTGACTGACGTGACTTCGTTTCAAAAAGATATCACAGAAGGTACTCTGAACCATTGCATGATCTTGGCAATTGAACACTGATGCAACATCGGATAGTGATGTTTTATAACGTATTTATGCAGCTATTTTAAATCTATAAATGTTATTTTTACAAAATCACTGATTTGACATATTCTCTGTAACATATATACGCATTGGGGCACGATGACAAGTACCAGGCACGTCAACGAACCTGTCAGGACAACGACGTGTCACTTTTTACACTACCAAAGTGGTATCACTATGAAATAGTGATGAATCCATGTAAAAGACACATGCTATTTTTGTTTAAAATCATAATAGTCATGTTGTTGAACTCTGATAAAGGTTACAATGTACTATTGAGTGTTTGGCAGTTGAAAAAGAAACCGAACATACAAGACCGTGTATTTATTTTTCTGATCTGAAAACATAGGATTCGACATGAAATGCGGTAGCTTTGATTCACAGTGAACTTCTATGACAATACCAGCAATTACCCTTTGCATCCCATCGGTCGGTTTATGGTAAAGGGTCTATTTAGCTGGACTGTGTGATCAGGGCCGGTGACTAGACTGATATCAGGTCATGGTGCCCCGACATGACAAATGGGATGAGTAAGGAATAAGGTGTAAGATTAAAAAAAGTTGTGTCTCTGAAAACCTAACGCGTAAACAATGCATACATACATAGATCAGCAGACAAAAAAAGGGCGAGGCCTTGTTTATGATATGACACAGTCAACAAGGAAGTAATAAGTCACGTTACACCACTCCGCGGGTGTCTCCTGTGGTCACTTCAGTTAAAGATTTGATTTGGTAGAAATCATTCACAGTCTCAAGCCACATGCTGGTAAGTGTGATTCAGACACCGTTTGTTGTGTGAACGGTATATGTATCTGACGTGGGTTGAGGTTGTACAGCAGATGGTTGGTGTTTGTATCTTACATGAGCTGTGGTTGTACAGTTGATGGTTGGTGTATATATCTTACATGGGTTGTGGTTGTACAGTATATGGTTGGTGTATGTATCTTACATGGGTTGTGGTTGTACAGTATATGGTTGGTGTATGTATCTTACATAGGCTGTGGTTGTACAGTTGATGGTTGGTGTATATATCTTACATGGGTTGTGGTTGTACAGTATATGGTTGGTGTATGTATCTTACATGGGCTTTGGTTGTACACTTGATGGTTGGTGTATATATCTGACATGGGTTATGGTTGTACAGTAGTTCGTTGGTGTATATATCTTGACTATGGTTATATACTTGAGTACATGTGCATGTGTATGGAGTATCTGTATGTGTTTAAATGTAGACTATGGTTATATAGGTGTGTACATCTGCATGTGTAGGGCGTATCTGTATGTGTATAAGTGTAGACTATGGTTATATACTTGAGTACATGTGCATGTGTATGGCGTATCTCTATGTGTTTAAATGTGCATGTGTATGGCGTATATGTATGTGTATATGTGTAGACTATGGTTATATACTTGAGTACATGTGCATGTGTATGGTGTATCTCTATGTGTATATGTGTAGACTATGGTTATATATGTGTGTACATGTGCATGTGTATGGCGTATCTGTATGTGTGTATGTGTAGACTATGGTTATATACTTGAGTACATGTTCATGTGTATGGAGTATCTCTATGTGTATAAGTGTAGACTGTAGTTATATACTTGTGTACATGTGCATGTGTATGGCGTATCTCTGTGTGTTTAAATGTAGACTTTGGTTATATACTTGAGTACATGTTCATGTGTATGGAGTATCTCTATGTGTTTAAGTGTAGACTGTAGTTATATACTTGAGTACATGTGCATGTGTATGGCTTATCTGTATGTGTATATGTGCACACTATGGTTATATACTTGAATACATGTGCATGTGTATGGCGTATCTCTATGTGTATAAGTGTAGACTATGGTTATATACGTGTGTACATATGCATGTGTATGTAGTATCTCTATCTGTATAAGTGTAGACTATGTTTATATACTTGAGTACATGTGCATATGTATGGAGAATCTGTATGTGTATAAGTGTAGACTATGGTTATATACGTGTGTACATGTGCATGTGTATGGAGTATCTCTATGTGTGTAAGTGTAGACTATGGTTATGTACGTGTGTACATGTGCATGTGTATGGTGCGTACGAATGTTTATGCCTCGCACATGTGTGTGGGTGCTTGCGGGCGTGTGTGCTAGTGTGTTTGCAGGCCTGTCTGCACATATGTGAACATGCTTATATTCAATTATGTCCCAAGGCATATTGTTTCTATCCTTCGACTCCAGTCTCCAGTGAACCAAACCAGCATTTTATTACAGTTTTCCATAACACCCATCGTTCGGTCATCCTCCGGACCACTATGTCCATACACTCGCAAGACGAAGTAAAGCTTTTGTCTGTCAGAGAATTGCAAGGGTTTAAATCGCATATCTGTCTGACATATCGTCCTCAAACCCGGAAGTCGCCTATCATTAGACTATATATGCACACGACAACTATTGGAAGACTTACTTTACAATACTCAGCATGTATGGATCGTAATGTGTATTTATATCATGTACAAGCCGCCGTATAAAACGCAACGAAACCTTTTTCATCACAAGGATCGTAAGTCACTAAGATAACCTTAGCGCAATGTTAAAGAATAGGAGTTAAGGTTATCTTTAGTAAAGGTTCGTGAAAGGAGCTCCTGATTCGTAGCATATGAAACACACCACGCACATTGGGGGCTAAAAGTAGGTCATATTTGTTTTATCTTGGCGAACTTTTCCAGGTAACGAAAACACGTATTCATTTTATGTTTACACTAAACCAGTGCATACCAGTACGACCCTGGGATGACATTGACATCTCATTGACATACGGATATAATCAAAACTAAAACTGCTATACTCCATTCGCTTATGAATCACTCTCTAATAGTGACGATACCAGGTGTCTGCCACAGAGCGTACTCTGTAGAACCATGACAGAAGTGGCAAACACATGCAAAGGTAGGCCAGTTGTTTACTTGAAAGGCCTCTGCTGCAAGACAAAATAGGGTATTGCATTGAAATTTATTGTTCAGTTGTATACGAATTGTACTTTAGTCGGGGCAGACATCCCACAAGAATGGCTGGTACCTACGCAGAAACGTACAGATTCGAAAAGCCGCAGATCCTGGCGTTCTTTGAGTGCGATGAGGGGAAAAGTGTGATGAACTCTCTTCAGGAACAGGAAGGATGCACCATAGAAGTAAAAGAGTTTGAACCTGGTGAGTTGGTGGGAAAGTCGCTTTCTTTGTTTGTTGTTTAAAGTTGTGTAATATTCCAGTTATATGGCGGCGGACTGTAAATAATCTAATAAACCTGACAATCCAGTGATCAACATCATGAGCATCGATCTACGCAGTTGGGATACGATCAGGATCCGAAATTGTTGGTTTGAAGATAGGCTTGAAGCCGACCAAGTGATCCACGGGGTTGAAGAGCTTGAAATGTTTTGGAAAAAGTATTTCTTTCACAAAATGATGGAAAACAGTTTGCTTCGGATATTCTCTTGACATGCCAGGAATCCGCACACGTTTGTATTGTTGAATAAGATAATATCGCATGGCTGCCACTCGCTGAAAAATACATCGTATTTAAACATCGAGCAATTACAGTTACTGGAGGTACAATATTATACCCCAATCACACCAAACCCGTTCTCATTACGGCCTTGAAAAAAGTTCGGATCGGGCAAGAACTGTGTGCGAACGGACTGGACGTAGTGACACCTGTTCACAGTATGTTAAATAACTTTATGGACGGGCTCAGTCGCAGGGACGGAAGGGTGCTCCAGAGCGTTGAACATGTCCAACGTTTTACCCGTTCTAAAATTGGACGGAGTGTCAACGTACATAAAACGAGATTGCCGTACTGCAAACGGAATTGCGGATGTACTGCAGTCGGGCATCAATCTCAATGCGTTTGTACACAGTTTCCACCACGTCCATCCCGTTCGCAGACAGACCCAACTCGCCCGCATTATGTCCTTAGTTGCTATTCCGGGCAAATGTGTTCAAAACAAAATTAATTGTTTTGAAGAAGTTCGTAGTAGGTTCCTACACGGTTCTAAAAGTTCGCAATGGGTTTTCATTACGTTTATGTACTTCTCACGTCGTCAACACCGTGTGCAGTACGATCTGACAACTTTGAAGGTACCTGTGTTTTTAAAACGTTCGTCATTTGGGATAGAGATTTCTACCTGTGAAACATGAACAAATTTGCACCTGTCAACATGATGAATGCTGATTTTCTGCAATTTTAACTGGAAGCAGAGCAAGAGTACAATGAGTTGGTAGACAAGAAAGGAGGAAAAGAACAAGAACATGTTGGGTGTGGAACTGGTTTAAACCTGTAAGGCGAATAGTTGTGGGACATTATCATCAACTGATTGCGAGGAATTATTATCAAATGTTCGCGAGGAACTCCGCCTTGAAACTGAGAACGGGAATAAGGTACTTAGAGAAATATCGTCAGGACGCGATGGTTATCGCGATTGCACGCACTAAGAACGGAGTGACAACAGAGTGCGAACGGGAAGAACTGCCTGAAAACGAGTTGGTCGAGTTAAGAACGAGTTTGGTCTAATTCACAACGGAAATAAACTGACTTAAGGTTGGGATTGAACTGCTTGAAAAGGTTGTTCACAGGGGGTTTACGGACAATTTTAACTAGTCTAAACGTAATACCAATTCTCTGGGGACGGGGTAAAGACGATACAGACGTACCGAGAACTGTTTATGATCGAACTAGCATCGTACATTTTACAAAAGTCACATGTTCTATCCCGCTCGAGCCCGTTTCACAATTATATTTTGGACAGGGCAGGACGTACAGAAAACGTGTTAATATATTTAACCAGAGACCATATATGGTCTCTGAGTTAAGACGTCTCTGGTTCTGGAAACCGTAAGATACTGTGCGTCAAGCAGTACATCGTTCTCTACACTTACTGCTCCTACCACGTTATATGACACTGTTTGTTTGTTACAGTTATTACAACACATATCAACTTGTCCTTTCTCAAGCAACAGATAACTGAGGTCGCAGTGAGTTCACTTTTTTAAACAATGACTGACCCGGAAGGGACCAGAGGAGTTTTAACTATAAATAACTGGTTTTGTTTTGTTTGTTTGTTTGTTTGTTTGTTTAATTGTTTGTTTGATTGATTGTTTGTTTGTTTGTTTGTTTGATTGTTCGTTTGATTGTTTGTTTGTTTGTTTGTTTGTTTGATTGTTTGTTTGTTTGTTTGTCTTAACGCCGCACTCACCAATATTCCAGCCATATGGCGGCGGTCGGTAATCGAGTCTGGACCAGACAATCCAGTGATCAGCAGCATGAGCATCGATCAACGCAATTGGGATTTAATGACATAAGTGTCAACCAAGTCAGTGAGCTTGACCACCCGATCCCGTAAGTCACCTCTTATGACAAGCATGGGATTCTTAAGACCAATTCTAATCTTGATCTTCACGGTTCATTTGCAGGATGACGTCATCGTTAATTCCCTTGGACGAAATCTTGACATGCAGACTGGACAACTTTCCAGATGCATTTTGAAGGCTGCAGGGAAAGAGATAGGAGAAGAGTGTAGGAATAAATGCCCAGCAGGATTAGGTGTTGCTGAGATAGTTGAGACATCTGGAGGAAAACTGAAGTGTAAAGCTATATATCACTGTTGCCTGCCCCACTGGAAGAGCGATAGGTGCAGGCCAGACGACGTAAGGCTGGTTTTAGATATTTTCCTTTTCTAATATTTTTTACTTTATATCTTTAATTACGGAAATCTTGCTGGCAACAACATTGAAATGTTTCTTAGTTCGAGAGCTCTCTGATTACAGTAAAATTGATTAATACAGTACTGGTCTTTGTCAGACGGGCGATGATGTAGCCTATGTGTAATAGCGTGTAAAGCTCATCCCCTCCTCCATGATATTGTTGGAATTTTACTAAAAGCGGAGTAATACTAAACACGAACAGACACATCGTCAGAGTTGACAGTATCCGTTGCTTTTTTCGGGGTTTCTTAAAGGTGTTGAGACAAGTTGTCAGTGATTGCATCACCAATGCTTCGACTCAGGGACACAAATCCATTGCCTTTCCTGCCCTCGGATCTGGCAATCTTGGCTACCCAAAGTACGTGACAGCAGCGGCCATTATTGACACTGTGCGGGAGTTTGACAATGTTCCTCTTTCTGTTGTGGACGTGCATGTCGTCGGTTATCCAGAAGACCTCGACTTTGAAGAAGTAGGTACCTGAAGTTTTTCATGCGAAAGGTTGACTTTAATGTGTCTGTGTCATTGCCAATTCACTTTCTCGCATGATATCATCATTCCTATAAATAGATTATAAACTGACAACTCATGTATTTATAAACTGACCATTTAGCTATGAAGAAGTGTAATATTTCATATACCGTAGTAAACAACAAGTAACATGTGTTAGTATTTGTGAGAAAATGGACTGAAGCCTTGAAGGTTGAGATGACACGATAGTAACGGAAAAAGTAAGTGTGCTTCATACATGTACGTATATTCTGAAATTACTGAATGCATCACTAAATACGTAGACATCACCTCGCCCATAAAGTCGTAATTCACTGTTCCCACATGCATCGTGTGAGTGAGTTACAATTGAAAGACACGTCGGCGATATTTCAGTAATATCATGCGTAGAACAAGTCACGTGTTGCAAACAGGAACAAAAGTAGTTTGCCAGACATTTATCGGGACACATAACTTTGTGACAATGTAGGACGTGACGCCAAGATGCACCAGGATAATGCCACCCTATTGCAAAGCTGTTTCCCAAGACCTTACCCTTCTCCTACCATCATAGGACATATCTCGGATGAGGTGGAACTATGCCTACGGCAGTACCAGAACCAGCGAATACCTCTACTATCCAGGCTGACACACTTGTCTTACATGTGGTATTGATTATATCAAGTTATTTTATCAGATAAGTAACATAGTGACGCATATGATGGGTGTGTTATTTTATATCTGTGTGTAACGTTTCTTTTATAATTGGAATCTTTGATTTGTCTTCTTTACTGAAACCATTACTGGTCGTGTACAGGATAGTTCTTTACCATTTCAGGCTTATAAACGACACCTACAGAAAGCTACGGCTTCTGCAAATAAGAGTTCAGGTATAGTATTTGGTGCAAAAATCAGTAAAGGTATATAGACCATTTGTGACAGCCAAACTGAAATTGACAAATACCAATCATGTCTCCATAGAAACCATTCCGATTGGCAAGCTGATGCTCGTTCTTCTTGAAGGGGGAGATAACTGACGATTGTGTGGATGTCATCGTTCACCCCACAACAAAACAACTGTCATTTGATTCAGGTAGGACAATTTTTTACAGGTGGGAAAATATTCAGAACTCAGTGCCCTGATGTGTGTAACACATGGTGTTCTGTTTCTAATACTGCCTTACTTTTACAAAACAATTTTCAATCTAAACACTTGAAACTTCAAGTTATAGCTCTATAATAACATTTTTTACTTACAATGTTTTTCCCTTATCGAAGTACCAACCACATTTATAGTATTACTCCCGGCACCCTTAATGAAGGGCCAAGCTATTGGTAACATTATTTCTGAAAAAGTTGTAAAATCTTTGATTTTGTTTGAAATATATATATACAACTGAATGTTTTACAAACTTTCTTAACAGCATGGAAAAAAACACACCAGGCAATTGAAATGTCAGTTCTTTAACGTCCGAAAAAGTCCGGTTCAAATGGCACATTTTTTATCTAAATTGTTAGCATGGAAATCCACCTGCCACTTAATTCAATGATTTGCACGTGCAAGTCGCTCTAGCCATGGAAAATGGAGGACAATACACATGCATTGATACTTTTTTCACAGTCGTTCACTATTCAGCTTCCTGTTTGAAATCGCAGCTTAAAATGAGACGGGTTTCTTTACATTTGCTGAAAGGGGTCAGACTATAGGCTTTCTGGAATCTGGTCAAACTGAGCGGCAGGTTGCTGTCCGCTTTAATGTGAGTGAGAGCGCTGTTGGTAGACCGTGGCAGAGATTTCAAGCTAATGGGTGGGATATGCACGTGGCTCAGGTCGCCCGAAATGATAAGCACATGGTGATCACTGCGTTAAATAACAGGTTCCTTAACACAGTAGATCTTCAGACTTCAATATCAACAACGTAAGGATATCAAGGAGCACCGTTCGTCGACGATTTAGGGTAGCTGGACTCCGCTATAGGCGACCTGCAGTTCGCGTACCACTAATACCAAGTCACAAGCAGGCGCGTTTGAGATGGAGTAGACATTATGGCCGCTGGAATCAACGTCAATGGTCACGTGTGCTCTTCACAGATGAAAGTAGATTCAATTTGCCCTTCTATGATTAACTCCTACTAGACGTACTCTACTGCAATTAGTAATCTTACCCGACAGAGTTATCGGGACGAGATTCTGGCTCCTATAGCAGTACTGTTCCTGCAAGCTGTGCATGGTTTTATGGTTGACCCTCTTTACTGCAAGAAGACAAAGCTAGGCTTCACAGGGACAGGATTGTCACGGGATTCTCTAGGCAGCAGGGTGCAGAGCGGATGGAGTGGCCATCACCCTCTCCAGACCTCAACCCAATTGAACATGCCTGGGATGAACTCGGTCGACGTGTGTACACACGTCACCTAGCAACAGTGGATCTCCCAGGACTCCACAGAGCTCTTGTAGAAGAATGGAATGCTATTCCGCAAGCTTTCTTTTTGAACTTGATAAGGAGCATGAGAACAAGGTGCACCTGTGTCTTGGACGCACGAGGAGGGTACACAAGATATGGACTGACCGAGTGCTTCATGTTTGTCATATTCAATGGGGGGGGGGGATGTCTATACAAACTGATGTTTTCTAGGGCTGTTTGAACGCTTTGTCTGTAGGTCACGATGTGTCAACTTTGTCAACACATTAAACATTATGATGACACTCTTAGTTCTATTCTGAGAAACATGTGCTATATATGATTTGACCCTTTATTAATGACACCTAGTATATATGTTACATTTGTCTGTTCTGTTCAGGTGACGTTTCAGCAAGTTTGAGATTAAAATGTGGCACTAGTTTTGTTGAAGAATGTCAGGATGAAGGTTTGTACATTTGAACAATGTTACCACAATCTACTTGAACAAAGGGACCACTATTCTAGTTCACTATAACCGTAGTTCGTCGTACGTATTTCGACTTAAATATAAATCATTTTGCTGGTACAAAACCATTCTGTATTCCAGTTCGATATAAACGTACCTTACTGTATTAACCACTTTAGGCAACTTGGGAAGAGACAGTTTCTGTCATCCCTCACGAAGATGACAAAATCTTCCATATCCCCCACTGATCCCGTTTGCAAATAGTTTAACATAAATGATGTACATTTATCACATAATATCACATTAGTGATGACTATAAAGGGGAAGTGCATAATGCACCCTTACCAAACACACGCAAAGTCAAGACAATGTTAACCTTACAGGTACTCCCTCACTACCTTTATAAAATACAGGCACACGCCAGAAAAACACAGAACAAAAGAAAAAAGCAAAACTCAAAAGATAGGCACTAGTCCTATCAAGCGCGATTTGGTAAGGAACAACAGTTCTGGGAACAAATCTCGCCTTCGTTTCATCTGGAAATACTAAATAGATCGAAAACACCTAATGGGCCCAATTCAACCCTAGTCTGTTGAGTATTCAAAGTTCATGAAACAGTCTTTTGATTAATAATGTGGAATACATTTCCAAATTTGACCCACCAGTGACAAAAATGATTGTACAACAGATTCCCGCGTTTATTCAGGTAAACGATTGACTAGCCTTTGCATTTGTTTATGATGGGTGCCACCCGTGGGTGTCATGATGTCATAAGTTATTATGTTTACAGACAGTGTCATCAAGAAGAATGGAGTGGTTCTTACCACGGCTCCGGGTTTACAGTGCAAAAACATCCTACACACTGCACCTAAACATTTCGGAAGTTGGAAGAAAACTATAAAGAAATGTATCCTACTCGTGGATGAGACCAACGAGTACACGTCCATTGCTTTCCCAGCTGTTCCACCTGGTATGTGGGTTAAATAGATCATTACAATAATCCTTACTTTTATCTTGATCACGACAGTAAGGGCGCTTGTATTCTTGTCTTCGAGTTTATCATAATGCTCAGTGAGAGCAGAATAAACTGATCGGAAGTAATAAAATACGTTGTCTCAAGCCTACCCTCATGTAATAGAAATTGGGGGTTTATACCGTTGGCTGTTGTGATTGAGTGAGAGAGTTAAAGGTGAAAAAAAATCTGGTTTTTGAGGTTGTTCTTTCTACTTGTTTTAGAAAGCCAGTTCCTGCAAGAAGACGAATGTCCATCACGTTTTTTATCTGATATGCTTTTCCTCTCAGAGGTACCGCAAGGATGGATGGCACGCACCTGGTTTGATTAACATAGGAATTTGGTCGATATAACATAAATGTCATATATGAGTCAATATTCAACAGATATGCTGCGGGGTTCTCTTGAAGAAGTATACGAGGAGGCGGCGAGGGAAATGGTGGACGCGGCCAGAACCATGCACACAACTACTGTGGAAATGATTCGAGTCTTCTGCCCCGACCAGTCCAAGTTAGCCACGTACAAAGACGCAGTGCTCAAGGCTATACCAGACCTCTCCACCATGACAGGTATGTAAGACAGGTATGTTTGTTTGGTGTTTAACACCGCACTCAGCAATATTCCAGCTATACTACCCATCAAAAAGTTTAGACTCACTAGTGTAAATGTAGCCACTTACTTCAGTCAACTGTTCTAAACTAGATTTTGCAAAATAGTCCATACTTTTCAAAGGTACTGTTTATACATGTACTGATGTATTGTAAAATAAATTTGAAACGTTGAAAACATTATTATCATGAGTTCAATAAATGGTGAAACTCAGTGAAAATTGGCGAATTCTTAACAAAATTCAACACCAAGACGCAGCTGTTCACATGCACGATATTTGCGTTCCGGCAATTTGATGCATGATCCTCTTGCAACATCATCTGTATAAAGTTTGCAGCTGCTTCACCCAGGATGTAGAGAAATTCATCTTTGATGTAACCATATATATATCATCCAAAACTGTGTTCCACAGGAGATATCGCTTATGTGAGATCATATATCTCCTAGGAGATATCGTTTTGACAATAGATTTTGTACAATGCCCTGACAATGCTATGACGTCATCAACTTGATGACGTTACAATGCTATGACATCGCTGCACTGCAAGTCTAATGGTAGTACAGTGTTGAGAGATGTACACTTTTCATTGATACCTAATGAATGAATTTTTATGAAAAATAGAATTTCACCCTCGTGTCTGCTGATGTCAATTATATCAACACTCGTTGATAATGGTAAATATATCCTCGGCAAGCCTCGGATATGTGTAACTTTATCAACTAGTGTTGATATAATTGATATCAGTAGACAAAAGGTGAATTTTATATATATATACGAACGGTGTTAGCTATGTCGTCATCATGCTTAACGTCATACGCATGATGATGACATAGCTATTACCGTTATGTGTCGCCTATGACGACACTCAGCTTTCATTGTACACCTGAAGAGCCGTTGAACGGCGAAAGATCCTGTGCAGATATAAAGGAGATTTGGCAAGAAGAAATATCAGGACTCATATTTTATATATTTATTGCTTATGCACTTGCAGAAATCACTTGTTTGTATATATATAACATATAGTGAGTTTTTTAAGTGAGTCTAAACTTTTGATGGGTAGTATATGTGACGGCGGTATGTAAATACTCGTCTTGGCCAGACAATCCAGTGATAAGAATCTAAAACAGGTATGACCAAATGAATGCATTTGAAGATAAATCTTATCAACAACAAAATTAGTTAAAGTACCACTGAACGAAAGAATGTGCTTTTGCACCGCTTTCAGCAAAATTGAGGCAATATCGAGGCAAGGTACAGACAGAAATGTGCTTCACACACAGTGCCCATTTAGGAAAGACGAACGAGTTCTTCAGCCAATAGTCCGAACTAAGACGAGATAGGATATTATATTTCATCTAGTGCAGACATGCTCACCTTTAAAGCGAACACCCAGTATAGTCACTATTGGATAGTGATTAATAATATTATGTTTATGAAATACCTACTACCTAGTTTTGAATCATTGTCATGTCATAAATGTATTTGCTTTTCGTCTCACAAGACCACGAAACTTCTTTGTGGTGGATTCTAGAAGATGGTGAGTACAAATAGACAAACTTTATTGATAGCGACTTCTTTTTTTCGGGAGTGCAACTCACTTTCGCTTCTTAAATTATCTAACCGTATACATTTGGCAACACAATTGATGCAGAGGTACTCTGAAAGAGGTAGAAGGAGTTCTTTTATATATTTTTTGAAAGTTTCAGATCTGTCAATTTGTCTGTATTATTTCCTCAAAAAATTTGAGTGGCACTGCGAACATAGCTTCGCGACTGCTACCGCTATCTTTGTTGACACTGGCAAGCACGGATGTAATGGCGGCTTAGCTGATCGGCTACTGTGAGTATGCAAAGCCAGCAAAGGGAGGTAATAAAATCATCGGGCCAAGCCGTGGATACATCCAGGGTATAGTGGAGAGTGATCGTAACCTATACCCTGGAGATTATCGAGGATGGTTGCACTCACGAAATAAAGAAGTTGCTATCAATAAAGTTTGTCCATAGCGATCACGAAAAGTGACTGTGAAAATATCTTGAAAGCATGTCAGTCAGTTATATATGTGGCTGTGGCTTTCCTCTTATCATTTCCTGAAATGGAATATCCCAAGTTACGTTTCCTGCTAACAGGAAGACTGAAGTCTCGTATAAAGGCAATTAAAAGGAGAACATCCAAAACAGAGACAACGGACGATGGTGTGCTTGAAACATTTGGCCTTAGTGTCAATGCAAAGGTATGTTCCACATTGACAATCAAGGAGATATTGTTGCCCAGTAATTAAATCGCTGAATCTACACGCACATGACCCGCACGTCACGTATAAGATAAGACCCATGGAAATATGCACTATGATGCAAGATGACACTTGCTGGAAAAAACCGCAAAGGATTGTTCTAGCCGAAGGTGTTAACATGATCAACAAATCCCGAGAAAAGGTTTATTCAGCTTAAAAAACTGCCTGAATGCAAGAAATATCAGAAAGATAAACACGCAAAACATCGCCATACGTACTAGTTAGACAACAACATGGCTGTATTAATCAAGTTCCATGAACACCTTCTTTACCATTTCATCATGTAATAACGTGTTCGAGTGTGGAATAACTTTACAGAATGTCATGACATGTTTCATTACCCCACTTCATATAATTATAAGAACGTCCATCTCTGATCTCACGTGACCTTGAACAAATGATCATGTACGCCCGGGGCACGGCCGTACACCGCCCAAGCCGGATATAAATCTTTGTCAGGGAGAATAAATCATTTATACCCCGCCTCATGGAAAAAGCATGCATCCATGATTTGGGATACACGGAGTTTTATGCGTCCCTCCCATTATCACAATCTTACAGTTTGTATTGGCATAGCATATTTGAGTGTACCTTTCACTATATGTAATACCATATTTTAAGTTGCCGATGCCTGCAGCAGAACGCCCCAGTAGGAACGAGTCTGTAGCGTCAGTGACAGTGTATTGTCAGGAAAATAAGTGTGACGCAATCGTTAAAAAGCTGGCAGACAGATGTGATGAAGACTTCACCAGGAAAGTTGTGGACCAGCGGATACAGGAGCTGACGTCTTCAAAGGTAATAATACACGAGCAGTAAAAACATGGGAAGCAGGATGGGCCCCGGTGCAATATTCCCGATTCCCAGACTGACAATAGATACCTACTAAATGTCAAAGTAATTCATTCTAACTACAAAGAAGCAGGAGCTTTATCTGACTTTATCGATTTATTCGAATGCAATTAACTTCTAAGAGACATTTATGTCGGGTTGGTGTTAATGTGAGGTAGATGTCGTGTACCCGCTACCGTTTTCTTCATATTTTCAAAAGTACACGAATTACTCTCCAGTACATTTCTTCTCGATCGCCTGTCCTTCAACAATAGTGTCCCTTTCCTATCAACCTCAGACTGAAGATCTTGTGGCGTTTGCAAAGAAAGAGGGCGTAGATGTCAACACATTAAAAGGTAGTGGTGAGGTACATCTGAAGAGGCCATTCCACCGCCTCACCAAAGTGTGCCATCATTTGGATGAAATTCTACAAACAGTTGCTGATCTGGGTTTTGTGGGTAGGTATAATTGTTTTGGTTAAATATCAGTACAGGTTTCACCTTGGTGGGATTGTTGTTAAAACCTAGTGGTTAAAGTATTCGATTCACACCCCGAAGGTCAGGATATGTTTTCCCAAATCGGTACAATGTGAGCAGCCTAATCCTGGTCTTCCCCAACGTATTTTGTGGAGTACAGCGTAAAACCGATTCCTTAACACATTCACTGTTTTCTTGGGATCTTCAATACGATAGACGAATCGTATAAAGTGATGTATTGGCTTGAGTTATATCTTAGACGCATCATTGAAGACGTGCTTGACTCATAAGTTTTTACTTATTGAATTTGATGCTTGATGCCAGTGACGTCCTCTTAGCCGTCGCTTATTGGCACTGTGTGGTTCTCTGGACGAAAAGATTGATTAATTCGTTGTGTATTTCCTTTCAATGAAACATGAACACGTTTTTACGTGAATATCTGTGTATGTCCATCTAGCTTATCCCACTTGCTGGGAAAGCTTCGAGTCTGACCAGAGGGTTTTCAACGTTGCTGAAGGAAGCATAGAATACATGAGTGTGAAGAACAGTTTCATGGCGTCATTGGGTGAAAAGGGACATCGTTCTACCATCTTTAAGGTAAACAACGTACACATACAAAAATGGGATTAACTCGGTACTAATCAACGTGATCTGATTTCAAAACTTTCCAAAAAGCTCATACAATCGATGTGTTCCCCATGGCCGTTAGGCAGTCAGAGAAAATCTGTACACAAGGCATAGCAATTAGCATCTCATTGTTCATTAGGAAGCATATCAGTATCTTTACGTTTCACCTCAGATTGAGAGGATTCAGATCCCGGATCTGTACAAGCAGTACCAGATCGCGATGCAGACTATCCAGAAGGAGCATCCCCCTACAAAGACAATGAACGCATCATGTGGCATGGAACTGACGTAGAAGCTGTTCCCAACATCAACAAATATGGCTTTAATAGGTCTTACAGCGGAAAGAACGGTCAGTTGACTATTGGAATAACCTCTTAAATGATACCATTGGTAAACGTCATGAAAGACCAAAAAATTATCACATTGAACAAACATTTGTGATTAAACAAATTACACATTAGTCTAATTTTAGCCATGGGTAGCGGAAAAGAATTATATACCCACTCTGATCTCTTCACATTCACATGGAATGCCAGTGACTGAACACTTTATTGAGAGATATGTTAGACAGTGTGTGTTCGATTGATCTTTAACACCGCACTCAGCGATATTTCAGGAATATGGCGGCGGTCTGTAAATAATTCAAGTCTGGACTAGACTATCCAGTGTAACACAGCAAGAGCACATCTACGCAACTGGGATACGATTACGATGACATGTGTGACAGAGAGACAAAAACAGATAGGAAATTCATTCAGTATAACGGCAATAGGCCTGTAATACAGGCAATGTTTGATTGCATGAATCACGAATGTCAGTGAAGTAATTGATTAACCCACTCATGTCCACATGTTTAAACAGAATATTTTAACACGAGCAGTCCAGCGTCGCAGCATCAGATTCCTTAAATAAATCTTGACATGGTGTATTTCCAACGTACTTTTGATCTCTGGACAATGTCACAGTAGCCTTGTTACTCTGTGTGTTTTAGTTCAAATACGCTTAGACATGGACATAACACCCAAATATTATGTTTTGTCTTGCCGATTGTACAAGTATACCTTTCCATCCACAACGGCCTTGTTGCTTTGATGTGTGTGAGAGTGGAGTGCCGGGGTGGAGGCGATTTGCGCGAATAATCACAACGTCCGTTGTCTTCTCAGTACGTAACTCGTCGCGCAAAAGAAATCTATGATCTACATCCGACTTGTTAGAATTCGATCCTTTAAAATCACAATCAGCAAACTCAGATACATCAGAATCTGCAGGGTCATTGAGCAAGACATTTTCCTGATCCTGATCCCCTTTCTTGCTTCTTCTTGCTTTCTGCTTTGGAAACAGTCCTATTGTACCGCTGCAATTGGAATGAGAGGAAGCTTAAATAATTGGTAGCTTAAATAGTATGTCATTCAGTTTTCTAATTTCAGCTACCCTGTATGGACAAGGTGTGTACTTCGCCGTGAATGCAAGCACCTCTTCTATGGACAAGTACTCTCCTCCAGACACCTATGGTATCAAATATATCTACAGGGCTCGGGTCCTGACGGGCAGATACACCAAGGGGGATGCCAAAATGAGGGACCCTCCCCGTGTTGACCCTACTGGCTCTGTCAGGTTCACCTCAACCACTGATGACACTTCACGACCATCGCTGTTCTGCATCTATCGGGACACATATTCCTACCCAGAGTACCTGATCTCTTTCCAGCTGTCACTGCCTCAAACATCATAGGTCAGAACTCGGGACAGCGTCAGAAGGGCAGCTTTGATCATAGACTTGAGGACCTGCTTGTTTAACAAATATTGTTTTCTACGTTCATGTCCAAGTCGTTCAAAGCAAATTGTAGCCACTATAACCTGCTTTTGCTTCAGAATCACTGCTAAACATTATTCCACGGCTATATTCATAATAGTTCAGTAAATCGATTGTGGAGAAAGGGGGCTTATGGGTAACTGTGTTATTAAACTCAGATTTTTCAATTTTAGTTTACAAATGTCTGTTACAATTTAGTTTTGGTATGTGAACATTACTACAATGTTCTTGGTTGTTGAGTTGTATTTAAACAAAAGTCTTTAACTGACAAAAAATGACAATAATGAAACAGAGGCATTGACTAATCTGCCACGCATATTCCACAGGGTTCCAACGGTGTACATGAATGACTAGTATAGGGGAGGTAACTGTACATGGGTCAAACACATTAGTAAAACAAACATCAGTGGAACCACATTATTAAACGATATTGCATTGGAACGAGTATTTTGTTTTCTTCTAAATGTGTCTGGGTCAATGAAACATTTTGAATCATTTTATTCATTATATGTGTAGTGGTTCTGTTAAGTCTGAGGGGTTTAAGGAGAATTATACAAAAAATCAATCAACGAGTATTTAATTTCTTCAAATATTTTCTCCTTATTTACATTACTATTTAAAGGTCACATGCAACGTAAAAAACAACTTTGCAGATTCTGATACCTTTCGGTATGGACATACCGAAACAAATCGTCAAAAATGCAAATTCAACTTATAAAGTTGAAAAATAACGCGATGAAAAAAAACGCGCGAAATCGGAGTTAAAACGTTTCACTAATTTTCTGGGGAAAACGGGTTTCAACAGCTGGGCTGCGCTCATAGCACGTGCGCAAGTAAATAGGTTCGCACAGCTTGGAAGCGGGTTGTCGGGTGAATACTCGGTGAAGGCTTTGGTGTGAGCTATTTTTCTAATGTTTTGTTGATATCTCACAGGCGCGAGCTTTTTATATGTTATGACAGTAAATTAACTGTTTATATAATTTCAGTTGTCTATTTCACCACACGTTCTTCTTACCGAGATACTTTCTCAGTTCGATACTTAAAAGCAATGTCATTATTTAGCGTTGGCAGAATTTCTAACTGTGATATAGATATGTCGTTGTCACAGACAAAACTCAATGTCTTGTTTTATTGACACCTGTGTGTCTGCCTGCCTGTCTGCTAATGACAATATTCAATACACAGCTGCTATCACTGACCAGATGCAATTTGAACTTAACACCAATCAGGCTATACACCATAAACAAAATGCATTGATTTATGGCCCGAGTTCGGTCTCTGTCACATTATGTAATTACACAGACAGGCAGGTGTGATACTTGAAAACATGACATGTTATGATGTGTGTTGATTGCAAAATGTTATACACAAAAAATGAGCATGTATTTACAAAACCCAACATCTCTCTATATATATACACACAATTAGCCGTGAAGGCGGCATCTGCAAATGAACCAGCCGTTACACTTGAGTGCACACCCACCCGCTCTGACTGGGTTCGGTATCCCGGCTGCTTCGTTTCTTGGGAAGTAAACCGAAGTACACAATTTTGCACTTTCGATTTGCAATTGTACGCTTATAATTTTGTTTATATATTTTTTCGTAACCAGCAATGTATATTATATGTCATGAATAAGTGATAATTGTGTTTTAATTATGTTTGATTTTTTGGTTGCATGTGACCTTTAAGTTTTAATTTTTTCATTTTACATCGAATAGATTTTCGTAATGCCAATAATTTCCTATTCCTTGAAAGGATTTCAAAACAAGAAATTTTGATTTTTTTTCTTGATGCTTCCATTATTTTCTCGTAATTGTGAGTATTTTCTCTGTTTTCTTGTTTAGGAAGACGTATTCATGTTGACATAACTTTTTTTAAAGTTTTCGATATATCCAGGTTACGTTCATATTTTTCCACTAGAATTCAAACTGTGAAAATTCTATGCCAGAGAATACCTCATACGAACCTCATAAAATGGGATGGCATATCACATCAAGTTCACATATGACGAGTCATATTTAGTTAATCCACCAGCATGTAAATGTAATTTGTTTCATAGTAACCAGTTTTGACTCTCCTCAGAAACATTCAATGTCGCGCACAGGGCAAAATAGCTGTTTACATTGTGTGACTTCAACATCAGCGGTCTTGAAAAGCAGCATGCCCTGCCGGACCAATGGTACTCGTGACTTGTGTAATTTTCTTAAAACAGTGAGCATATCTTGTGTGACACCGGATATCTTGTGTGACACCGTACAATAATCCTGCAATGCGATGGTGGTTCGGTTAGTTCCCATGATGTAGAATTGTAGAAACACAGGATTACCTTCAAGGCCTAGAGGAAGTAAGGGCAAACGAGCACAGTGTGGGAAGAACTTGGTGACATCCTCGTTGATCTTGTAGTCTGTATGGAGGTCGACGTTCTGTGTTTTCCTGAAACAATGAAAGTAACATCCTTTCCAGGCGGAATCGGGAAACAATCGAACTCTCGTAACTGTACATAGGCCATTGCAAAATGATACTAGCTTTTGTAACTTGATGGTATTTATACAATATGTAAGATCTGTAAGTGTACTGTGTGGCACTGATTGAGTGAACAAATTAATTATGGTTTTTCAAAGTGTAGTTGGATTCCATTGGATAAAAGGCCAAACAGTGTTCAAAATAAACAGAGATATCATCAGAAACGTAATTGTCATTCATCAACAAGGAGGGGGAAATGAAAAATTGAATGGTCCCAGCTATGTCATCATAATTTCAACTCAAACATCCAGATATTACACGTATCGGCTTTTGAGGTAAAGCTATTCATTTAACCTATGACTGTTGAAAAAATGGTTATTCTATGATCTTAGTTTGAACTTTTCTGTACTTCGATTTAATTAAAGCTGTCAGAAACTTGAACCTTAAAGAAAAAAGAAGCAGATTTGAGACAATTGTCAATGGAGGTCTGCAAATAATCAAGTCTTGACCAGACAATCAAGATAATCCGTTATATATTGCTGAGTGAGACTTTAAACAACAAACAAATGTCATGAATACTTACGTCAAAATGGTCATGTTGTCTCCATTGAACAAAATTGTTCTGTGCATACCAGCACCAGTGATTGGTCACAGCCAGGTGTGTGTTAACGTGGACACTGGTTTATACTTTCCATAGCTGACAGACCACTGTAAATAAGCTTGATTTGTTCAGTATGCCACCTGAGAAAGAAATCTGCCAAAATCATTCATCGGCGCTAAAAACGTTAGACTTGACTCTAAAACCTGAAGACATATCCATTCTTCTTTTGTACTGGATTCCAAAGGGATTCCAAAGCTACATAACATTCTGTAGAAAGAAAAATGTATTGCTGGGTCCAACGAATGTACCATCAAATTCTTGTGTCAAAGTTTAATCATTATCCTTAAAGGGAGACTTTCACACACAGTATTTAAAACAAGCGCAATTGATACCATGTGGATTCTCAAAAAAGCTCAAAAATGCAATTTTGTACAGACAGAAACGGACCGAAGTCCATTCAGTCAAAAGATTTTACCACTATCCCACAGTTCAAACCTAAGAATAAAATTCATTCCTGGATATACGTAGATATCTATCCTCAGAGGTTCTGGACAAGTGGTCAAGAACGAAAGTAAATTAGAAGTTACCAGGGAGTACATAATGTTAAATGCTGAACCTCCCCTTTGATAGCATATATGTACAAATTGGGGGTAAAACATTTGGACAAGAAGATGGCTCCCTATGAACACCAATGGTAAATACTTCTGGAGTTGCGCCCCTTTGCCTGTTTGGCGCGCTGCGGTAGTTGAGTTCAAGATTAGACAGGAAGGCCTACTGTCTCATACTCCTAAATAACACATGACTAGTCCCTGAAAGGTAGTGTAACTTGTCATCTTGTTGACGTAGTTTTCTAAGAATACAAACGTTTTGCTGACTCCACCCTTGTCTTTGTGCCATTTTTCAATGCTGCACCCTAAATGATGCTGTAACTAAATGGATAAATCAAATTTTGACAACACAAGCATCTATTGCTGTCAAAAGATTAAAAAGAGCATGAGGTGGATACAGAAATATGTATAAAACACAGTTAACGCCTTTGGTGTTTACATTTCACAACCTCTGAGGTACAGTCAATCATGCTCTTTTCATCAAGATTTCATGGAGTGTCACATAAGTCCCCTGTTTTTGTTGTTTAGTTTTTGCTTGTGTTGTTTGTTTTGGGTTTGTTGTTTTTTGGGGTTGTTGTTGTTCTTTTTTTTATTGTTTGTTGGGGTTTTGGTGTGTGTGTGTGTGTGTGTGTGTGTGTGTGTGTGTGTGTGTGTGTGTGTGTGTGTGTGTGTGTGTGTGTGTGTGTGTGTGTGTGTGTGTGTGTGTGTGTGTGTGTGTGTGTGTGTTTTGTTGTTTGGTGTTGCTTATTATCTTGTACAGTCAGTTGACTCTGCTCTTGGGATGGGATTCTTTAGGATCTGGAAAGGGGTTTTGCCGCTTCATGTACAGCCTCTTTCAACAACTATGCGATTACATCTTTTATATACTGATGTTGATGAACATTATACCGCCAAAATAAATGAGCGTCAACACCCAATGGTCGCCGGGCTAATTCTGGTAACAAACTGGCACATACGCACGCATTTGTAAATTGAACAATTTATAACATATCGAGAATATTCAGACGTCATGAAAGACTAAAACAGTTGTGAATAAAAAAATCACAAGGTCATTTTGTATATTTTCTTTTGGGGTCACTATCTCCTACGTAGGACATACTATCTCCTACGTAGGACTTAGTATCTCCTACGTAGGACTTACTATCTCCTACGTAGGACTAAGTGTCTCCTACGTAGGACTTAGTATCCCCTACGTAGGAGTTAGTATCTCACAATAGCAGTCGACCGCCTCCGTGGTGTAGTGGTTAGAGCGTCCGCCCGGAGAGCGGAAGGTCGCGGGTTCGATGCCCGACCGCGTCATACCAAAAGACATATGGTACTTGTTGGTCCCTGCCTGGCGCTCGACATTAATGGGTACAACAAGGACTGGTCTGCTCGGAGTCAGTATAATGTGTCTGAGTAGGGTATTCATGCTTCACTGCGGCATAGTATCTCAGTGGGCTAGCACTATAAAACCAGCTTCAGTCTGGGCTAGTACAAGCAGGCGCACATACACATACACACGCATGCACGTCGTCATATGAACAAAATATTCTCAAGCACGACGTTAACCCCAATTTCACCTCACCTCACAATAGCAGTCTGTGGTAACAATGTTTACAAAGCAGCAAGTTTATTATCTTTACACAACAGCTTGTCATTTGAGATGCATTTGCTTGACGACTTGGTTATGTAAATACCTTCCACAACGTTCTATGCTATGCTGGATTACTTAAGTTCTTGAAAATTACAAACGACACCTAATTCTGAAAGTATTTCATATACAGTAAATCAACAATTGTTTTCATCAGATTTGGTAATAAAATATGATAGTAACAGCTTTTGTTTTGACTGTGCCATAAACTTCTATTCATTCTTAGGAAAAAATCATTGTACATTTTGTAGTTGTATGGTTAGCATACTTTATTATGGGAAAAATATGTGAATATCTAGAAATATTTCCCTTTGTACATAGCGACATTTTGTTTGTTGTTTAACATACAGCAGTGTTTTAACTGTATGAGTCTGGATCAGACAAGCCAGTTATTGACGTCATGGGCATCTATATACACATTGGGGATACGATGACAAGTATCAGGCACGTCAACGAAGCTGTCAGGACAATAACGTTTGACATGTGACTCTTAACACTAACAAGCGGGTCGCACAATCGAATAGTTTAACCATGTTAAAAGACATATCCTATTGTCAGAAACTCATCATAGCCATGTTGTTGACTGACTGACTGAGTTTGTTTTTTACGCCGCTTTTAGCAATATTACAGCAACATCACGGCGGGGGACACCGGAAATGGGCTTCACACATTGTGCCCATGTGGGGATTCGAACCCGGATTTTCGGCGTGACGAGCCAACGCTTTAACCATTAGGCTTCCCCACCGCCCCGCCATGTTGTTGAACTTGTTAAAAGTAACTATGTGCTATTGTATGCTTGGCAGTTGAAAACGAAACAGAAGGTACAAGAAAGTATATTCACTCTCCAACATGAAAACATTGGATTCGACGTGAAAACTACAGCTCTGATTCATGACAATTATGAACTTATCATTAAAACACCAGGCGATCGTCACCCTTCAGGCCCCTTTCAAAGATAAACCGGGGGACACAAAAAGACGAAGTAGAGGTCATTGTGACACTATTTGTTTCTGATAAGAATACCCAATCATCACAAAGAAGGAAGTGATGTGTCACGCTACCTCGCTGTCAGTATAAAGGGTATGGGCTGTGCTCCCCTCAATTAGACACTTGAATATATACTGGAATTGGTGTCACTTTCAGGTAAGATGGTTGGTGTATGTATCTTACAGGGATTGTGGTTGTAGAGTAGATGGTTGGTGTATGTATCTTACATTGGTTGGAGTATGGAGTATTTAAATATACACTATGGTTATATACTTGAGTACATGTACATGTGTGTGGAGTATTTCTATGTGTATAAGTGTAGACTATGGTTATATACTTGAGTATATGCGCATGTGTGTGGAGTATCTCTACGTGTATTAGTGTAGACTATTGTTATATGCGTGTGTACATGTACATGTGTATGGAGTATCTCTATATGTTTAAATGTAGACTATGGTTATATACGTGTGTGCATGTGCATGTGTATGTAATATATCTATGTGTATAAGTGTAGACTATGGTTATATACGTGTGTACATGTGCATATGTATGGAGTAGCTCTATGTGTATAAGTGTAGACTATGGTTATATACGTGTGTACATGTGCATATGTATGGAGTAGCTCTATGTGTATAAGTGTAGACTATGGTTATATACGTGTGTACATGTGCATATGTATGAGGCGTGTACTTGTGTTTGCGTCACTCATGTGTGTGTGTGTGCGTGCTTGCGTGCGGACCCATGTCTATACCCTCGCAACACGAAGTGAAAGCTTTGTTTGTTGGAGAATTCTATGGGTATAAAACGCATAACTGTCTAGCAGATCATCCTTAAACCAGGAAGTCGCCAATCATAAGACTATATATGCACATAACAACCTTTGGACCACTTACTTTGAGCATGGATGGCTCGGAATGTGTGTTAATATCATGTACAAGCACACGTATCCATGGTTTGAGAGGTATTCTAGAAGCTGTAATAGGATTGGGAAGTGTTTATTAATGATCAACGAGAGCAGCGTTTCCATAAAGACTTGTCATTCCTCGTATTACCATTTCCATCATAAAGATTAAAGTAATTCAAGGATCTGATTCGTAACATATGAAACGCACGACACACATTTAGGCTCTTAAATGTAACACTTGTTTCACTTTGGCACACGTTTCTAGGTAACGAAAACACCTATTTGCATATGTGCAAATACTAACCTCCTAGTTGACGAGCGCCACTGGCTAACCTGACATATCACTGACATACCCTTATTATCAGAACTAAAATTGCTGTACTCCATTCGCTTATGGATCACTTTCAAGTAGCCATGATGCCAAGTGTTTGCCACAAAGTAAGCTGAACTACGACAGAAGTGACAAACACACGCAAAGGCACGTACATTGTTCACTTGAAAAGTTCTTGAAAGGTCTATTCTACAAGTCAAAATAGGGTATTGCATTGAAATTCCTTGTTGAGTTGTTTACGAATTATACTTTCCTCCAGTCAGACATTCCACAAGAATGGCTGGTACGTTCCGTTTGAACAACCTGGGGCCACGTAGGATGATGGTCTTTGAGCCCGGTGAGAGGAGACCTCTGCAGGGTCAGGAAGGATGCACCATAGAAGTCAATGAGTATCAACCTCAACCTATGAAGTGGTCGGAAGGTTTGTCTGTTTGTATTTTGATTAAAACCACTCTGAGCAATATTCCAGCTGTATGGAGGCAGTCTGTAAATAATCAAGTCTGGACCAAACAAACCATCATCATGAGCATCGATCTACGCAGTTATAATACAATGATCCCGGATCTTCAAGGGTTTGGTGGGAAAGGTAGGTTTGAAGCCGACCAAGTGATCATCGGAGTTGAAGAGCTTGTATCGTTTTGGAAAAGTACTTGTTGCACAAAATGATGGCAAAATATTAAGTTTGTTTAGGATATTCGCTTGACATGCTAGGAATCCTAACACGTTTGTATTGTTGGATAAGATGAAATCGCATGGCTTCCACTCGCAGAAAAACGCATCGTATTTAAAAATCCAGTAATTACAGTTACAATATTAACAGAGACTTTTTTGTATCTATTCTACATGTCTCAAGTTCTGCAAAACCGATCTGCTCTTATCAAATTAGATCACATTGTTTGGTTGTTGCAGATACACACTTCAACAGGTCCTCTCTCATGGATTTGAAAGTGAAGGAAGCAGTGAGTTCACTTTGTGACTGGCGCGATAGGGCCAGATCAGTGTTAACAAAAATAACTGGTTTTGTTTTGTTTTCTTTGTAGCTTAACGCCGCACTCGGCAATATTAAAGTATATGGCGGCGGTCTGTAAATAGTCAAGTCGTTTATTATGGGAACAATGTGTGAACATTTAGAAATATTTTCCTTTTTATACTCTTAAAATAAGAAACGCATAGGCGATTTTGAGAATATTGGACTCATGTAGCTTTCGGCAAAAAACACTACAAATGTACTATTTCTTTCCCAAACATCATCTTTGTGTGATTGTAAACCGCTTCAGCGGCAAAAGGCGGCAATTTTAACTTTCCCCTTGTTTTAGAAGCGTTTGAAGAAATATTGATCACTTTGAAAAGGAAAACGTTTTTTATTTTGTGCTTCCGTTTTGCCTGGAAAAGAGGAAATCATGATGCCACGAATGAGTGCCGCCAATTTAAACATCACCATAGGCCGCCTTGAAGCTGGGGAGTCGCAGTCAGCAGTTGCCCGACATTTCAAAGTCCATTAGAGCACCATATATCGCATTTGGGATAGTTTCCTGCATACCAATTCCGCCCAAGATGCGGCCGTCCAAGAGTTACCACCCAAACCCAGGACCGCTACATCTGGGTTGCTCACTTGGGTCATCGTCTTGCCACTACCGTGGAGACCGCACAACGAATCGATCGTTTGAGAAGAATTTCTGACCAAACTGTCAGGAATCGATTGCGTGAAGTGGACATACATACAGCACGCGTCACGATCCGCTACCTTGCCATTTCTAACGTCAAAATTTGTCTGCTTTACTGAGACCATTACTGGCCGTGTACATGATAGTTCTTTACCATTTCAGTTGCATGAATTGCACCTACGAAGATTAAGGGGACCTGAAGACAAGCGTTCAGGTTTAAGTATGCGGTTTAAAACTCCGTTTTCCAAGAACAGTTCAATATAGTTCATAGTATATAGATTCCATTTGTGACATGTTTGACAAAAACTAATAACTTTTATGATAATGATTTGTTCAAAGCAAGGTCCTTTATATAAGAGACCAAACCGTTTCTATAATCTTACGAAATATTTGCAAAAAGCGTTTGTCCATTGCACAATTTTTCAACTATATAATAAACATATATTAATGAATCACTATCCAATAGTGATTGTGCCTGGTGTTCGCAAAGAGGTGACCTTATCCTGCACCACCTTTACAAATCTTTCTATGCACCTTTGTCCCAACTGGAGTTGTATTGGCGACTCTAATTTAGGAAGGAGCTGAAGGTAACCAAAGGTGACCATGTGCTGCGTTGCTGGTCTGAACATAGAATATGCTATATAGAGGTGATTTGTCACGTCTCGGTTTAGTTACTGTTCGGTTGATTCGAACTGTTGGATGAAAAGTTCGTTCCTCATGTCAAAGACCAGGGTTACACTCCTAAATGGGCGCAGTGTGTAAAGCTCTGTTTTGTTTATTGACTCAATTTTGCTGACTGCGGTACACTAACAACATTATATCATTCTGTGGTACTTTAACCATGAGGTATAGAAGTTGTTATCCATAAAGTCTGTCTTATAATGCTCACGAAAAGTGACTGCGAAAAAGTGAAGCATGTCAGTCAGTTATATACGCGTAAAATGCGGCTTTCCTTTCATACCATATTGAGTGATATCTCAAGTTACGTTTCTTGTTATCAGGATACCTGAGGTCGGGTAGAACAGAGTCTCCAACGGAAGTTGGTGCGTTAAAATGGATGACAAAGGTAAGTTCCACACTGATAATCGTGGAGGTATTGTTGCCCAGGTGTTCAATCGCCGACTGGATACGCTCATAGTCCGCACGTTTGAATATGTTATACCAGTCCAATAATTAATGTCATTAAATGTGTAATAACATATTTTAAGCCGGAGATGCCTGTAGTAGGACTCCAGGGTAGACACCGGTTGAGAGTGCCATTCTCACTGGGTGTCAGGACACAGCCAGACAGATGTGATGAAGATTGCACCAGGAACGTTCTGGATAAGCGGATACAGAAGCTGAAGTCTTCACAGGTAATAAAAACATGGAAAACAGGATGGGAGGCAATCTTCCTGATTCCCATACTGAAAATGGATAGCTCTAAATGTCCAATTAATGGTACTCATTTGTTCTTACTACAACAAAGCAGGAACTTAATCAGACTTTATCGAGATTTTGGAACACAGCTAAAATTCCAAAAGATATTTATGTGGGGTAGGTTTCATTGTGAGGTAGATGCCGCGTACCATCTACCATTCATGGTAAATATTTTTTAAAAGTAAAGTAAATTACTCTGCAGTGAATTCCTTCTTGATCGCCTGTCCTTTTCCTATCAACCTCAGATTGAAGATCTTGTGGCGTTTGCAAAGAAAGAGAGCGTAGATATCTACAAATTAAAATCTAGTGGTCAGGTTCGTCTGAAGGGACCACTCCAAGGCCTTACCAAAGTGTGTCATTATTTGGATCAGACTCTACAAACAGTAGCTCATTTTGGTTTTGTGGGTAGGTATAAATGTTATTTGTTAAATATCAGTGCAGGTTTCATCATGGTGTTGTTGTTGTGAAAGCCTAGTTGTTAAAGTGTTCGCTTGTCGCTCCGAAGCATCATTGAAGACGTGCTTGACTCATGATTGTTTACGTATTGAATTTGATGTCTCTGGGCTTGCTCCTTTATGACGCAAGTGACGTCCACGTAATCGTTGCTTATAGGAAACAGGTACGAAGAGATGTATCGAAAATTTGGATTGGAAGAATAAAAATTACAAACTTGCCTTGAGCGTTTCCTCTTTAATAATTGGGTCTGGTTCTCCAGACAAAAAGACTAATTAATTCGTTATGTATTTCTTTCACTTCGCGAATGAAACATTAGCACGTTTTTCTAACGTGAGAATTTGTGTATGTCCTTCTAGCGTATCCCACTTGCTGGGAAAGCGTCGAGTCTGACCAGAGGGTTTTCAACGTTGCTGAAGGAAGCATAGAATACAAGAGTGTGAAGAACAGTTTCATGGCGGCTTTGTGTAAACAGAGAGATCATGCTACCATCTTTAAGGTAAACAACGTAGACTTATAAGAACGGGATTAACGTGGTATTAATCAAAGTGACCTGATTTAAGTAATATTTTCAAAACGGTCATACAACTGATGCATTCCCATGACCATTAGTCAGTCACAGAAACATGTACACAAAGCATAGCAATCAGCATCCCGTAGTTCAGTAGGAGGCTTATCAAAATATCTTCATTTTTCACCTCAGATTGAGAGGATTCAGATTCCGGATCTGTACAAGCAGTACCAGATCGCGATGCAGACTGTCCAGAAGGAACATCCCTTTCAAGATAATGAACGCATCATGTGGCATGGAACTGACGTAGAAGCTGTTCCCAACATCAACAAATATGGATTTAGCAGGTCTTACAGCGGAAAGAACGGTCAGTTGACTATAGGATTACCCTTTCAAATGATGCCGGTGACGAACGTCACGAAAGACCAAACATTACCACGTTGAACGAAAACATTTGTGATTAAACAAATCACACATCATCCCAATTTAGCCATAATTATCTGAGTTGAATTGTATACCCACACTCATTTCTTCACATACACATGGAATGACAGTGACTAAACGCATTATTAAGATATATGTTGGGAGAGTGTTTGTTTGCTTGTTCGCAAAATATTTAACGTTGAACTCTCAGGAATAATAATGAAGTTGACTATCCATAGAACTTGGTTTTCCTTCAACTTCTAAAAAGTCTTCCCTCACTGTCTCTATGAGCTCTCAAGGCTTTATACTACACTTCCTGTCTCGTTGCCATGCTTTCTTTTGTTTTTACTGTAGGTGTATTGAAAGTAACTATAATAGCTTACTGTAGCTCTTTAGGGTACCAAGCAAAACATACAAGACAATAGGGATTTATTTAAAATAACTTGTTTATACCTTGACTTCACAATGTTATATTGATCGCATCTCCGTTCGCGCACTTCACGAGAATGCGTTTTTTCGCGGGAACAAAACCATCCTCGGCCTTTCTTTCTGGCGCAGTGGACGTTGATACTTTTGCAGTAGTTACCGTTAACGTTGGTGTTGGGGTTGCCGTATTTGATCAGGTTGGTGTAGAGGCGACTGTATTTGCTGGTCGTGGGGGTTGTAACATGTCAGAGATTTCCTGTTGAAGTGGGGAGGAGATTCTCTTGTATGCCCGGTCTGCTGTGCTTCTGTGTCCAGTGCGCTGCATGAGAAGCTGTTCATCAACTTTCTCGTTCAATAAACGAGTTGCTAAAGTCACCTGAAACACATATTCATTTTTTTTGTCAGAAAATACGATAATAACAAGTGACGTACGTGATCATTATCATGTAAGTGAAGTGCTTTCAATCTCAATGCTAAGTTTGTTTTCAGACAATAAAATACAAATTACCTTGCCCGAGTGGCAGATTTTAGGGAGATTTTATCGAGCGTGCGCATATCCACCTTCTGTTGGTACCAAGGCTCGTCTGTAAAACGATCTTTCCGACGGTACACTTTCCAGATACAGTCACAGAAGTTTGATGAAACATCTCTCGTTATCGGGTTGTGCATATTGACGAACTTTCTTATCGTGTAAACAGAATAGCTTTGGGGCATGTTATCAGTATCGGTTCAATATACAACGTTCAAGTAAATATATCACAAAATGAACCATTTGATAATGAACTAGCCTGAATTCAACTTTTCCACTTTGCTGAAGTCTGCTTTGGTTGTTTTTTGCAAATTCCGCCCCTGAAGTAGAAATCTCCTCGTTCGTTAGTGCCAATCTGGAACTGATCCACCAGCAACTTACTTTGCTCGTCTGCCGCCCTGAACCCAAATACTTATCAACTGTGAAAGTAAACGAATTTCAGGAGTTGTTGAGCATCATCCTTGCCAAACACTCCTGTGTCCCATAACTTCATTTCATCCTCGAAGACAGGTTCTGCTCGTTTTATGTTTATTTCTATTCCGTTACGATTAGGTTCTTTCATTTTAGCGTCAAGTGTTGCTCAGAAGCTTGCAAACGTGGGTACTTTGTCATCAAAACGTTCTAATCAAATCGTTTAAATTCGTCTCTCAGAAAACGCCAAATACCACCACATCTCTTCGCGAACACCTCTGCCATTATTTTCCCGGCGGATAATCAAGACTGGGTATCTCAAGCATTAGTGTTATATAATTGTAAGACAGTTTCCCACATGAAGCTTAAATATTTTCAGCACTGTTAAACCGAAGTGCTTGATGCCATTCTATTTTCTGATTTCAGCTGCTTTGTTCGGACAAGGTGTGTACTTTGCCGTGGAGGCAAGCACCTCTTCCATGGACATGTACTCTCCTCCAGACACCCATGGAATCAAATATGTCTACAGGGCTCGGGTCCTGACGGGCAGATACACCAAGGGGGATGCCAAAATGAGGGACCCTCCCCTTGTTGACCCTACTCGCTCTGTCAGGTTTACCTCAACCACAAACAACACTTCACGACCATCGCTGTTCTGCATCTATCGGGACACACATTCCTACCCAGAGTACCTGATCTCTTTCCAGCTGTCACTGCCTCAAACATCATAGATCAGAACTCGGGACTGGGTCAGAAGGGCAGCTTTGATCATAGACTTGAGGACCTGCTTGTGTAACAAATATTGTTTTCTACGTTCATGTCCAAGTCTTTCAAAGCAAATGGTAGCCACTATAACCTGCTTTTACTTCATAATCACTACTAAACATTATTCCATGGCGATATTTGTTGTAGTTCGAATTCTGTAAATTGTTTGTGGAGAAATCGGCGCTTATAGGTAATTGTGTTCATAAATTCAGGTTATTCAATTTTAGTTTACAACTGTCTATTACAAGTCAGTTTGGATATATGGACATTACTACTATGTTGTTGGTTGTTCAGTTGTATTTTAAAGCCTGTAATTGATAAAATTGTTGTCACAATAATGAAAGAGAGGCATTGACTTGTCTGCCACGCATATTCCACAGGGTTATAACGGTGTAAATGAAGCAGGGAAGCAACTGTACCTTAATATTTAACGTCACATCGGCAGTATTTCAGCCATATCGTGACGAGGTACATTAGTGAAACAAACATTAGTGGAAATATATATATAATCAATATTCCATTGGGACCAGTATTTTGTTTTCTTCTAAATGTGTCTGTGTCAATGAAACATTTTGAATCATTATATTCATTCTGTTTGTATTAGTTCTGTTACGTCTGAGGGGTTTAAGGAGAATGATACAGAAAAATCATTCACGAGTATATGATTTCAATTTTTCTTTCTTTTTACTTCAAATAGATCTTCGAAATGATAATAATTTCTCTTTATTATTTTAATTGATTTTAAAACAAGAAATTTCGAAGTTTTCTTGATACTCGTCATTGTGAGCATTTTCTCTATTTTCCTGTTTAGGAAGACATACGATGTTGACATAACTTTATCTAACTCTCGATTGTATCCCAATTGCGTATATCGATGCTCATGATGTTGATCACTGGGTTGTCTGAACCAGACTCGATTATTACAGCCCGCTACCATTTCCTGGAATATTGCTGAATGCGGCGTAAAACAAAACTCACTCACTCATTTTGAACTCTCGATATATCCAGGGTAAGTTCATATGTTTCCACTTGAATTCAAACTGCGAAAATTCTATGCCAGAGAACAGTCTACCTCCGAGTATACACAATACACCGACACGTTGTTTCAAAACACCAAGCGCCGATGAGTAAAGTGTGAATACCCCATACCAAACTCATAGAATAGGATGACAGTACTTTTCAAAAAGTAACACCTGAGAAAGTGTTACCCTTTCCAGCGGATGTTATCAAGGTTTAGACTTTTTAAGATTCATTTCGAGCATAGTCTTTCAAAGTGTAGATGGAACACATATACCATATAAAAAAGTAGGGGATATTCCATTTTGCGAGCATACCACTAGCCAATGCCAATGCATATGAGAAGAAGTGATATATATCCATACAGATGAAACATTTCCAAAGGAATGGAATCAATTGTCACATTTTCCCTTAATTTCTCTTAATCATCGGTTTCCTCATTTGCTTTACTATTTGCATTTTATCAGTCTTGTAAATCCTATACCCCTATTGTTATGGTATATTTGGAGCCCATCGCTTTATCTGTTAAAGAATTGTATACTTGGAGGATATGTTCAAGTTTGACGCATCAGTGACAAAAATGATATCTGATGCAGTTCCCTATTTTGACAATATGTCTTCGTCTGTCTCGATTACCTTATTTTCAAATATACTGTTGACTTGCCATTGCATGTATTTATGATGGGTTCTACCGACATGGCAGGATATTGTCTGCTTGCTTTGTATCATAACAATTTAGTTCGTGCATAAATGTTAGCTATGATATAGTCGGAATTGTACAGTTGAATTCATATATTTTTTGAAAGGGTTTAATAAATCATGTGCGTATGCATATATGACCAAATAATATTTGATATTATTCAAAACTTCAACACCTCTAATTCAGTAGTTAACAAACTTCCAAAACAGATTCCATTATGGAAATGGCAAAACAGTGTTCGAAATAAACAGAGATATTATCAGAATGTTTTTGTTTATTCATCAACATTGAGGGGGAAATCAATAATCAACATTATTGTATTGTTCCAGCGGTTGTCATAATTTCAACTCACACATCCAGATATTACACTTATCGGCTTTTGAGGTTATATATTTCATTTCCGAAGCCAAGAAGAGGTGAAGCTATCTATTTATCCTATGAGTAGTATATACAATGGGGGTTCTGGATCACTTTCAACAAAAGCCTCTGCAAAGCCTTATTTCACAGATAAGGCCTTGGTCGGACCCTTAGCTCTTGCTACTATTACCCCTACTATGAAAAAGTTTGGGGATGCGAACGCACCTCACAATCGCGCTACCGGGGGCATGGCTGAAGTAACGGGTCTATCCTGGGCACCGCTATGCCGTGTTGACTGGAGGTAACACTGTGCCGTACGGTACGATCAATAATTCCGCTCTTACAAACCCCCTACCTGGCCCATCCCTCAAGTAGTACAAGTTAGGCTCGTCTGCTTTGATGTCCACTTTATCTATGTTGTAAGTTTTGACTGACCATATAGGATCGGTGGCTCGCTTACGGCTATCACCCTCGTGTTCCCCCGGCTGGTATAGATACCTCACTAGGGCCCTATCTGGTATCTGTTTCTCCTTCCTACGCAATGGAGCAGCCGACTCTGCAACTATTGATTTTAGTTTGATAGCGTCTGCCGGTTTCTTGCCGGTGAGATGGGTGACTTCATGGTTGATTGCCGACACCAGCTTAGGTAACCTCGCGACCCATTCAGTCGATCGTTTTCCGGGTGGCCATCTCCCTCAAACATACTGATGTCCGAATAAGCGCTCAGCCAAAATCCTATTAAATCTCTCAACTATGGCTTGGCTGCGATGGGCTCCAGCCGTGACACGCCTGACCTTTGTATCATGTTTGGCTAGCAGTTGTGACACGTCACCCATGAACTCCCGCCCGGGGTCAACTTGCAGCTCTGTTGGACACGTCAGCGGACTCGCGCTTGTATATGCGTTCGAATCCTCTGGCTACCTGGGCAGAATCTTTCGCGGTCAAGGGTTCGGCTTCCTTGTAGCGACTGGCCACGTCCACTACGGTTAAGGCATACTTGTACCTCTTGTCGTGGGGTAGGAACAGTAGGTCTGCCTGGTGAACGCTATTAGGTATGTTAATACCGAACCTCCTTCTAGGCACGTAGCGTGGTGCCGGTAAATATATCTGCCACAGGGCTTGTTTTTCAAGCCACGCTTTGGCCTCCTCCGGGGGTACTCGCGCCATTTTAGCCAGCTTATCTACAGCGCTAGCTCCTTTCCAGTACCCACGTGGGCTATAGTAAATAGCCTCAAACTTTCTCTCTTGGTTCAATTTTCTCATGCCCGTACGCGTACGTGTTTATCCCATCAATAGCTATCCAACGTTTAGTGTCCATAGGCGACAGGGACGTCTTGTTTATAGTAAGCCCGTATATCTTATGCCCATCACTTCTAAGTGTGTTCATTTTATGTCTAAAGGTACGGGTCTTGAACAGGGCTTCCTTGAATCTGGCGTGTTTGATGTGTTGTTTAACCACGTACTTCTTAACACCCTTAGCCTTCCGGATCTCACTATTGTCGGCCTTCAGGATGGAGTACATCTTAGGCCTCAAACCTATGTACTCGGCTATGGGCGTGCCAGCACACTCATCCTTCATCTTACCTAGGACCTTTTTATTTACCGTACTGTGTATGGCATGGTCCTTGGGGTAGTCGCTGGTGTCATACAAATCGAGGTGTTTTTCATGTCCTCAGTTATCGTCCTCGGTTCGAATCTCCATCAGCAGGGAATCCGTGTCAGTGTACAGCACTTCACACCTGTCATCGTACTGTTTCTTGAGCTCGTTGTAGTAAAAGTCGTACATCAGGTGTTTGGATAAATCGAGGATGCTCATCCCCACGTAAACAGGCCAGTTGAATTTTATGTGGCTTTTCTTCATGTGTAGGGCAACTAGGTCATCGGTGAATATTTTGCTACGGTTGAATGCCGGACTGGCTATCAGTCTCCTGAGCTTGTCTTCCTCATTCGATCGAACCAGCTTCACGGTCACACGTTTCCTCAGGTTTTCCATAGTCTTACCAAACACCGAGTTGTTCATGAGCTTGTAGAGGTTTTTCTCAAAGTCACTGGTTGCAAGCTTTCGGAGGTCTGTGTTCATTCTGATGTAGGGCTCCATCCATGGGCTCTGGTTGAACATGAGCACTTGGTCTTATTCATTAAGTTGGGCACGAGTTTTTCAACGTCTGCCACCCGCCCACCTAACAAGTTATGTTGGTACTCAGACATCCAGTCTGGGTTAACCCTCATACGTTCGGGGGCCAGGGGGTAGCTGTTGTGTGATGTGTGTAATGCCTTGGGGTATTCCAAGTCAACCTCGAGGATATAACCTTTATTCGAATCTGGTGCGATGCTCATGACATCGACCTCCTGGGGCCCCCATTCGAATCCCCCTGTGGGTAGATACTGGCTCATAGCCCAGCTGTACAGGTTGTTGGCGTCGAGGTAGAGAATGTGATTGGTTGGCTTGCTCGGGTCGTAGCCCTTCACGTATTGATTATTTGCTTTCGCGTATCATTTGGTTGCCATGGAGATCCCACCTCGCAAGCCTTTCTCAATGAATAGGTGCATGTCGTAATCTGTGAGTAATTCCAACTTAACTCCGGTCTTTTTAAGCAAGGCATCCCACGACAGACCTGGGCTGGTGTAATACCATGCTGGGTCGAGTTTATACTGCTTGAAACATGTCCGCCTAAACGTCTCAAACACATCGGCTAACAGCAGTACATCTGTCCTCAAGTACAGGTCGTGATAGTCACCCAGGTTTTCACAACCCAGTTTATTCCATACATTAATAGCGTGTGAGTAATCGTCTTGGGATATTTCCGAGTCTGTCAGATTGCTGTAAAATTCTCTGATGGGGGGTAGGCTGGTCTCGGCGAACTTGGCCCAACTATCCATGTACTCATAGGG